TCGTTTAAATTGTATTTTTTATTATTATTTATCCGCAATGCTAAAAGTAATTGTTTGAAAAGATTTTTACGTATAAGCTTTTTGTCAATAAATGTTTAAATATTAGCGATAACCATGAAATTCGAAGAAATTTTAATTTAAGACTTATTAAAAAGAAAAATGGACGTTCTTAAAATTCTTTTCGAATTCGATCGCATTGGTGCATCTTTGCGAGCTTCGTGGACTTATGTTATGTGTACGAGCAAACTCGATTTTTTTGCCAGAAGGAGATAGAGCCCGTGCGTATTTTAAAATTTATTTTCACAATCTTCACGTGAATTATCTTTGAACACATCGTGTGCTCTCTTAATGTGCCAAAGCAAACTCCGTTTATTTTCGAACCTCTTCGCACATTTTTCGCATAAGTAATCTTTAAAAACTTCGTGGAATATTTTTTTGTGTTTGAGTAAGGTTGATTTATTTTCAAATTTCTTCTCGCATTTGTTGCACGTGAAATCATTGCCATTTTTATGTACTAATTTTTGGTGTGTGAGCAAACTTGATTTCTTCATAAATTTCTTCTCACATTGGTCACATGCAAAATCGTTGCGGCTTTTGTGCTCTGATATTTGATGTCTGCTTAAATGACTTCGGAACTCAAATTTCTTTTCGCACTTGTTGCACGTGAAATCTTCATGAGCTTTGTGTACTAATTTTCGGTGCGTAAACAAACTGGATTTTTTCACAAATTTCTTCTCGCACTCATCACGCGAGTAATCTTTGCGACCCTCGTGGACTGTCTTTTGATGCAAAAGTAAGGTCGATTTATGTCCAAATTTCTTCTCACACTTGTCGCATGTATAATCTTTGCGACCTTCGTGGACTGTTCTTTGGTGTTCAAGCAAAATCCATTTGAGTCCAAATTTCTTCTCACACTTGTCACATGGAAAATCTTTACGACCTTCGTGTACTGTCTTTAGGTGTTTGAGCAAATTTTTTTTTTGTCCAAATTTTTTCTCGCATTTGTCGCATCCGTAATCTTTGCGACCCTCGTGGACTGTCTTTTGATGCAAAAGTAAGGTCGATTTATGTCCAAATTTCTTCTCACACTTGTCGCATGTATAATCTTTGCGACCTTCGTGGACTGTTCTTTGGTGTTCAAGCAAAATCCATTTGAGTCCAAATTTCTTCTCACACTTGTCACATGGAAAATCTTTACGACCATCGTGTACTATCCTCATGTGCATCAGCAAATTATGTTTTAGTCCGAATTGCTTCTGACACTTATCACATGAATAATCTTTCCGACCTTCGTGGGCTGTCTTTTGGTGGATGAGCAAATTACTATTATAAACGAATTTCTTTTCGCATTTATCACATGCGTAATCTTTCCGACCTTCATGGACTGTGGTTATGTGTGTGAGCAAGATCCATTTATTGACAAATTTCTTCTCGCATTTTTCGCACATGTAATCCATTCGATTTTCGTGGACCTTTTTTTGGTGAAAGAGCAAAGTCGATTTGTGTCGAAATTGTTTCGCGCATTTATCGCATACAAATTCTTTTCGACCCTCGTGAACTGTCTTTTGGTGTGAGAGCAAATGTATTTTTTGTCCAAATTTTTTATCGCACTTGTCGCACGCGTAGTCTTTGTGACCCTCATGGACTGTTTTTTTGTGGACAAGCAAATTCCATTTCTGTCCAAATTTCTTTCCGCAATTGTTACATGAGTAATCTTTGAGGGTTTTAAAAGCGAAATCTTTCCGACCTTCATGGACTTTATTTTGGTGCCTAAACAAACTTGACTTATGCTCAAATTTCTTTTCGCACTTGTCACAAGCGAAATTATTTTGTTTATTGTGAATTGTGTCTCGGTATGTTGTCATACTTGATTCTAGTGTAAATGCACCTTGATTAATGTCAGAAACGTGTTGTTTATCCATTTTGTGCTTAAATTAACGATTGTTCAGCTATTTAATATCACCGCAATCCAACGAGTAAAATTTGTCTTTCGGTATAATGGCTAGTTTCGTCATGTAAGACAACATTCAAACTAATTTGTTTTTGCCATAAACATGATCAGCGCTCGAGGAGCGATGTTAAGATTATATGTTCGTTCATATTGTTTACGTGTATTTGTTTGTCGATATTTGCTCTTCGTAGCCAATAAAAATAAATATTCTATAATGATAACAATTCATTATGGGACTGAGCCAATTTTATTGTTATTTCTATAGTCTTTGTTGCAGCAGAATGACGAAGAAAGAATTGAAAAAAGATAACCGATGTTTTCAGCATTTTGCGTTCTTAAAAAAATAATAATCACGAATTGCCTATTAAAATTAGTAAACTACCCATTAAAAAATTAATCGTGATGGAGAAAATGACTGGAACAGAGATCGTAAAACTGTCTTTTTCTGTAACATAACAAACGACATTAAGATATCAGAGAATAAAATTTACACTTGTGTTTGTGATAACACTTTTGAGCGCTTGCTTGTAAGTGTATTTACGAGCGGATATTTTCGAATCTTTTTTTCTCCCTCTCACAGGAAGCTCTGTTATTGGCTCGAGGACAAGATTTCGAATGAAGTGTCGTAAAATCATTTTGTTTACTTACTTGTAAACTATATTGAATTACCGATGAACGTTTGTGTTTGCACCGTATTATTGTGTGCAGATCATTATCTTGAAAGCCAGGCGTTACATCGTATCGAAATAAAACGCATTTACTGTCGATTGTGATGAAGACGAAGCTCAAGAAGCAGATTTCTTTAATACTATTGGAATTAACGTTTTCGATTTTTTGAATATTTTTTGGAAATATAAAATTTATTCTTTTACTTTGGGTTTTATCATTGAGTTGAATTAATTTTTTGATATATTTAAAATAAAGCAGTTGAGCTTCGATCAGTGAGTCGTTTAAATTGTATTTTTTATTATTATTTATCCGCAATGCTAAAAGTAATTGTTTGAAAAGATTTTTACGTATAAGCTTTTTGTCAATAAATTTTTAAATATTAGCGATAACCATGAAATTCGAAGAAATTTTAATCTAAGACTTATTAAAAAGAAAAATGGACGTTCTTAAAATTCTTGTAAAGTTTTGCGACATATGTGGCTTAAAAAGAAATTTTGTTGGCTTCAAAAAAATATTTTTGAAACGGCAGAAATGGGCAGAATACACACGAATTTATGTGCTGCTCCGGGGTATACTTAACTACATGCCGTTTATCGGAGTTAAGCGATAACAGTGAAAGAATATATTTTCATCATTAAAAGTACGATATGCTTGGCGTTGGATGGGCTGAATTTTCACTACTTTCAGAGCTTTTTTGATCAGCGATTTCATTTTCTACGTACATGGAGATCAATTGCGAAGGTTGTAAAGTAACGTAATTTATATTTTAGTTTATGGAAGAAATGCAAATAAAAGGTTTTTCACAATAACCAACAAATAAATAACAGTAGGAAATGCTTTATTGTTTTTCTTGAAATTGAGGATTTTAATGTAAAATAATTGTTAACATGCAGAAGTGTTCATAGCATGCAAATGTCTTCGAACAAGACTCACATATACCTATAGACGAGGAAATAAAGCACAAAAAACGGCTAAATCTCCGATCTTTTGAGCAGTAAGTCGGATTGAGATGCGGTTTTCGGCATTCGATTCGGGAGAGCGTCTAGAAACTTTGTGAACAAAATTTATGAGGGACAAATGAAAATTTGCACCCCGGGGGTGCAATAAACGCATTTCAGGGATGCATCTTGAACTCACGACTTAGTCAATATGTGTATTTCACTAAATATCGGTAAAAATGAGTCTAATTTCTGCACTCGGGGGTTTTTGGGGTCGCTGAAAACGAATATCACAACGAAAATGTACCACGATGTACCTGGGGCCCAGGGTGACTCTTGTATACCTCGTCTCCTGGAGTTTCATGGTAATATTCAACATATCTCGTTGAAACTCGTTACTTAGGGGTTTTTGGGGTCGCTGAAAACGAATATCACAACGAAAATGTACTACCATGTACCTGGGGCCCAGGGCGGGCCCTATATACCTCGTCTCCTGGAGTTTTATGGTAATATTCAACATATCTCGTTGAAACTCGTTACTTAGGGGTTTTTGGGGTCCCTGAAAACGAATATCACAACGAAAATGTACTACCATGTACCTGGGGCCCAGGGCGGGCCCTATATACCTCGTCTCCTGGAGTTTTATGGGAATATTCAACATATCTCGTTGAAACTCGTTACTTAGGGTTTTTGGGGTCCCTGAAAACGAATATCACAACGAAAATGGTTTCCAAAGTATCTGGTGGCATGTCAGGTATTATACATTTTGTTGTTAAAAAAATTTCAAAAATGTGCAAGTATCTTTAAAGTATTTACGATTATTTCTTAATTTATTTACAAATTTTCCACATTTTTTTCCTCTGTGTACTCATCTTCTGTTAATTTATCTTGCTCAACATTTGAACAGTTACAGCCGACACAATTTTTACACGCTAAATTGCAGGATAATCCGTGTTTTCTGCACCCACAGGTATATAGGGCCCGCCCTGGGCCCCAGGTACATGGTAGTACATTTTCGTTGTGATATTCGTTTTCAGCGACCCCAAAAACCCCCGAGTGCAGAAATTAGACTCATTTTTACCGATATTTAGTGAAATACACATATTGACCAAGTCGTGAGTTCAAGATGCATCCCTGAAATGCGTTTATTGCACCCCCGGGGTGCAAATTTTCATTTGTCCCTCATAAATTTTGTTCACAAAGTTTCTAGACGCTCTCCCGAATCGAATGCCGAAAACCGCATCTCAATCCCACTTACTGTTCAAAAATCGGAGGTTGAATGCTTTATTTCCTCGACTACTAAGTTTTGCTCCGATTATGTATTGCATTTACGTGACTTTTCAGTACGTTCTGATATCCGAATGATTTCTGACAAATCTCACATTCAAAAGGTTTGCTTCGATAATGTATTGTGTTTATGTGGGATTTGAGGTGATCCTTGCGTCCAAATGATTTGTGACAAACCTCACATTCGAAGGGTTTGCTCCGATTATGTACTGCGTTGACGTGAAGTTTAATGTAGCTTTGGTAGGCAAATGATTTATGACATATGTCACATTTGAAGGGTTTGCTGTGATCGTGTACTGAACTTATGTGAGATATGAGATGATATTTATTTCGAAAAGATTTATAACAAATATCACAATTGAAGGAATTGATACGATCATGAAATACATTTTTGTGAAATCTGAGGTAGTCCTTGCGGCCATATGATTTGTGACAAACCTCACATTCAAAAGGTTTGCTCCGGTCATGTACTGAACTTATGTGTTTAGCGAGATCACATTTTCGTCCAAATGATTTGCGACAATTATCACACTCAAAGGATTTGCTACGTTCATGTACTGCATTAATGTGACCCTGAAGGTGATGTTTGAATCCAAATGATTTTTGACAAATATCACACTCAAAGAGTCTTCTACGATCATGTATTCCGATGATGTGTGTATTGAGGGTATTTTTTTGTCTAAATGATTTGTGACAAAGCTTACATTCAAAAGGTTTGATACTATTATGTATTGTATTTATGTGAATCTTGAGGCCCCTCTTACTCCTGAATGATTTTAGACAAAACTCACATTCACGATTAACGCTACGATTAACCTTGGACTTATTCAGTTTCAATCTGGACTTTCCTTCAAACTGGTAGTCATTATCGTGATTAACTTCTTTTTTCATTAAAATCATTGGGCTTTTTTCATTCGAGTGACTGGTCTTAATTTGTTTTTCTATTTTCACAACAGGTGAATAGCATTGATCCTCAGTTTTGCAATTGGTTGTCGATATAGACTTTAGTTCCAGTTTAACATCTTTGCACTCAAAATCAATGATTAAATTTTGATTTATGGCATCCGTTTGATTTTCATTTTCTATCTTCACAATGGGCAGGTAACTTGGATACTCAGTTTTGCAATCTGGTGTCGATAAAGGCTTCAGCTCTTGTTTATAATTTTCGCACTCAAACTCTATGGATATTTTTTCATTTACCAACTCCCGTAAATGCATAGCCTTATACATGTGATATGCCTAAAATGAAAGTTGTTTAATAATTTTTATAAAGGCATAACAGAGCGTAGATAAATCATTGAACTCACCGATGATTTATTAAACGTTGATGTTTCAAAATTTTTGGCTTCGTAAGAATTCACAGAACCGAAATTATCATCGTCTGTATCCGGTGGAGAATCTTTCAGCTCTTCTTTCACTCTAATGAATAAATTAAGTGAGATGAAGTTATCTTTTCAGAAAACATTATTTTATGCACAAAAAATTTTACCTAACTATGTCCCCGTGGTTTTCCATCGCTCACTCAATTATACGTAATAACTGTGAATTTTTACGTTCTACATCGAGAAAATATTTGAGGTTAAACACCTTGAATATCCAGCATTATAGCAGCATTTGTAAACACTTACTCAACTGCAGGAATTTAGCTCCTCGCTGGCGAGTGTACGCACTACTAATATATCATCTCATAGGTATTCCCAGTGATTCTCATGGCTTCTTGGCGATACTTTCCCCCTCTGCTATAGATTGGCCAGAAGCAGTATGTGCTATACATAGAGGGACTCGCAAATTGTAATGAAAATATCATTTTTTTATAGGCGCAATGTGCGATAAATCCGGAAAAATTACTTGTAGGAACTGCCGCAAAGTTAGAGTTTTACATTGTTTCAGATGTTGTAAGAACGATGTGTAAATAGATAAATCGGTAACTTAACTGTAAACAATATGATCATGAACGATTTTGACATATTCCCTTCGACACACGGATCAATATAGTAAAAGCAAATTAGTTTGAAAGTTGTCTTTCTGGACAAAACTAGCCAAAATACCGAAAGACAAATTTTACTCGTTGGATTGCGGTGATATTACATAGCTGAACAATCGTTAATTTAAGCACAAAATGGATAAACAACACGTTTCTGACATTAGTCAAGGAGCATTTATACTAGAATCAAGTATGATGACATACCGAAACACAATTCATAATAAACAAAATAATTTCGCTTGTGACAAGTGCGAGAAAAAATTCGAGTTCCGAAGTCATTTGAGTAGACACCAAATATCAGAGCACAGAAGTCGCAAAAATTTTGCATGCGACCAGTGCGAAAAGAAATTTGTGAAAAAATCAAGTTTGTTTACGCATCAAAAGTTGGTACACAAAGGTCGCGAAGATTTGACTTGCAACAAGTGCGAGAGAAAATTTGAAAATAAATCAACTTTATTTAAGCACAAAAAGATATTCCACGATGTTTTCAAAGATTACTTGTGTGAAAAGTGCGCCAAGAGATTTGTAACGAAGCAGAGTTTGCGCTTGCACATAAAGACGATACACGACGATCGCAAAGATTTGGCACGCGATAAACGTGAGCGGGGACTTGGACAAAAATCGAATTTTTTGAGACACCGAAACATATTTCAAGGAGGTTCCAAAAATAACGCATGTGACAAATGCGAGAAGACATTCTTCGATCAAAGCACTTTGATCAGGCACAAAAAAACAGTTCATGGAGGTCATAAAGATTTCGAATGCGACAATTGCAAGAAAAAATTTGGACATAAACAGCATTTGCTTGTCCACCAAAGGACAGTCCATGAAGGTCTCAGAGATTACGGATGCGACATGTGCGAGAAGAAATTTGGACAAAAAGCAGATGTGTTGAAGCACCAGAGGAATGTACACGAGGGTCGCAAAGATCACGCATGCAACGAGTGCGAACAGAAATTTGGACAAAAATCGGATTTGCTCTTCCATATAAAGACAATACACGAAGGTCGCAAAGATTTTGTATGTGACATGTGCGAGAAAAAATTTGGAAAGAAATCATGTTTGATCAGCCACCTAAAGATAGTACACGAGGGTCGCAAAGATTTCACATGCCACAAGTGCGAAAAAGTATTTGGACAAAAACCACATTTGCTCCAACACCAAAGGGTAGTTCATGAAGGTCTTAAAAAGTTTGCATGTGACAGGTGCGAAAAAAAGTTTGGGGGACGAGGCTGTTTGACCAGACACCAAAAGATAGTACACGAAGGTGGCAAAGACTTCGCATGTGACAAGTGCGAGTGGAAATTTGGAAGGAAAACAGATGTGTTGAATCACCAAAGGACAGTCCATGAGAGTCGCAAAGATTACGCATGTGACAAATGCGAAAAAGTATTTGGACGAAAAACACATTTGCTCCAACACCAAAGGACAACCCATGAAGGTCGTAAAGATTACGTTTGTGACAAGTGCGGAAAGAAATATGGGGCTCAATATGATTTGATAAATCACCAAAAAATAGTCCACGAAGGTCGCAAAGATTTCGCATGTGACAGATGCGAGAAGAAATTTGGGCAACAAAATAATTTGTTCAGACACCAAAGGATAGTCCACGAAGGTCGCAAAGATTACGCATGCAACAAGTGCGAGAAGAAGTTTGGAGGAAAATGGATTTTGATGCAGCATCAAAAGACAGTTCACGAAGGTCGAAAAGATTTTACATGTGACAGTTGCGAGAAAAAATTTGGAAAAAAATGTACTTTGTTAAGGCACCAAAGGACAGTCCACGAAGGTCGCAAAAATTATGCATGCGACAAGTGCGAGAAGAAGTTTGGAGAAAAATGGATTTTGATGCAGCATCAAAAGACAGTTCACGAGGGTTGAAAAATATTGGCATTGGACAATTGAGATAAGAAATGATTATTGACCGTTTTAAATTTGTATAAATACTTGTATAGACGTTTTTCTGGAATTTTAATAAAAATCATGCTGAAATGATTGTGTTTTACTTGAAACTTTGGCCGTTCGACTATCATTACACAATTGTACACTATAATGTTGTGGTCTTTTCAGATCTCGTCTACCCTCAATTACTATACTCTCTGTTTATTTATTAACAATTCAGTTCTTGTAGCTCCGTACAAAGAGATCAGCCGAAATGTTCTATCTGATGAAAAACCAACGTAGAAACCATTCAATAATTTCAAAAAACGTTTTCTAAATTTCATTCAAAATCGGTAGAAATAGTCGTGACTGTTTTCGAATTGCGCGAACGTCAAATGAAAGTTTGCGGGGGTGGCCCTTTTTTTCTAATCCACCAATGTTATACTCCCTCAAAAGCTCGCGCGCTCGCCTATATGTGTGCCAGACTAGGGAATTTCAAACACCCTCGTTGTGTGCCATGCACACGTGCACATCAAAATACAAAAAGCTTCAGCGATTACTTTGGCCCGAGTACTTCACTCAGAGTGAAGGAAGCAACTTTATACGTCAAAAGTACGCATGAGAGATCGAGTATAAAAGTGTCTTCGAAGACGTACGTGCAAAATTACTTTCTTCTCTTTTGTTCGAGCGAAACTTTTTACTCCGAGAATTAATGCCAACCATTACCATAAGTGCACTAGCCGTGCGTAAACTCGAATAATCTACCCCTGGCGTGTCGAATATACATCGCATCATCGATGTGGCATGGCGAATTTCTGGATTGTCTCGCGCCTGTCGACAGCCTCGAGTTGTATTATTCCAGCGATTGTCATGGCTTTTTGGTGATACTTTCCCCCTCTACTATAGATTGGCCAGAAGCTGTGTATGCGATACATAGAGGGACTCGCAAATTCTAATGAAAATATCATTCTTTTATAGAGACAATGTGCGATAAGTCCGGAAAAATTACTTGAAGAAACTGCCGTTAAGTTAGATTTTTACATTGTTTCAAATGTTGTAAGAACGATGTGTAAATAGATAAATCGGTAACTTAACTGTAAACAGTATGATCATGAACGATTTTGACATATTCTCTTCGACACACGGATTAATGTAGTAAAAGCAAATTAGTTTGAATGTTGTCCTTCCTTACAAAACCAGCCTAAATACCGAAAGATAAATATAACTCATTCAACTTCAGTGGTACTAAATAGAAAGATCTATCTTTCATCTTAAGTACCGGAATGGATAATAATGAAAAAAAATCTGAAAACTTTGTCTTGGCAAATAATTCTAGTGAGCACGACACTATTGTTTCAGCCGACAAACAACACATTTGTGATATCTGTCAAGAGGCATTTACACTGAAATCAAGCATGATAACACACCAAAGCACTATTCACAATGAACAAAAAAATTTCGCTTGTGATAAGTGTGAAAAGAAATTCGTGTTCCGAAGTCATTTGAGTAGACACCAAATTTCACAACACAAATGCCGCAAAGATTTCACGTGCAACAAGTGCGAGAAGAAATTTGAAAATGAATCAACTTTGCTCAAGCACAAAAAAATATTCCATGAAGTATTCAAAGATTACTTGTGTGAAAAGTGCGCCAAGAGATTTGCAAGTAAGCAGAGTTTACTCACACACGTGAAGGGAGTCCACGACGGTCCCAAAGATTTAGCATGCGACAAGTGCGAGGAGAAGTTTAGAAAAAAATCTCATTTGCTCTTCCACTTCAAGACAGTACACAAGGTCTTCAAAGATTATTTACGTGACAATCGTGGGAAAAAGAAGAATCAACGTGATAAGACATTTGGATATGAAAGGAATTTGCTCTTGCACAAAACAATAGTCCAAGAAGATCACAAAGATCACGTAAGCGAAAAATGCAGTAAAAAATTTCAAAGTAAATCATATTTGCTGCAGCACCAAAGAACTGTACACGAAAACCTTAAAGATTTTACTTGCGACAAGTGCGAGAGGAAGTTTGGAAGTAAGCAGCACTTGCTCAACCACCAAAGAATAGTTCACGAAGGTTGCAAGGATTACTCATGTGACAAATGCGAGAAAAAATTTGGAAATAAATCAAATTTGTTGAAGCACCAAAAGACTGTTCACGAAGGTCGCAAAGATTACGCATGCGAAAATTGCGAGAAAAAATTTGGACACAAATGTACTTTGCTCGTACATCATAGGACAATACATGAAGGTCGCAAGGATTACGGATGCGACAAATGCGAGAAAAAATTTGGACAAAAAAAGGATTTGCTCAAACACCTAAAGACGATACACGAAGGTCGAAGAGATTTTGCATGCGACGAGTGCGAGAAGAAATTTGGACACAAATGTACTTTGGTCGTGCACATGAAAACAGTCCACGACGGTCGCAAAGATTACGCATGCGATAAGTGCGAGAAAAAATTCGGACGAACATCACATTTGCTCTTGCACGTAAAGACGGTACACGATAATCGTAAAGATTTCGCATGCGACAAATGTGAAAAAAAATTTGGACAGAAACCACATTTGCTCAGGCACCAAAGAACAGCCCATCACGGTCGCAAAGATTACGCATGCGATAAGTGCGAGAAAAAATTCGGACGAAAATCACATTTGCTCTTGCACGTAAAGACGATACACGACAATCGTAAAGATTTCGCATACGACATGTGCGAGAAGAAATTCGGTTAAAAATTGCAATTAATCAAACACCAAATTTTGCATGCAACAATGGCGAGAAAATAAAAGGATTAACAATTGTAAATGTGTATAGATACTCATATACCTATGTATTTCAAAAATTTTAATAAAAATTTTGCTGAAATAACTTGTACCACATGAATCTTGGGCGTTCAACTGTCATTACACCTTTATACACTGACTCTTAATGAATTTTTTGACTAATTGATTCCCGAAGCTCTTCGTGCAGCGATTAGCTAAGAGTTTTTTTACATCTTGTTCGGATCGCGAAAGAGGTAAACTTTCAGTTGACTACCGGATTTTTGATAAGCCTTACTAACTGACTTGCGACCCCAAATTGATCAAATACACTTTAGTGAAAAATTTTTATAAATTTGCCGACAAACACTGATGAATAATTTAAGGGGACACATACACCTTAAACTCGAAATTTTTTTTATTGCTTTATTGAGTAGGATTTTTCCGTCCCTTTCCATTGCTTTTTTCGAAATTCCAAAATTTTGATTTTGCCCTGAGATACAGCTGTTTCCGTGAACCCTTTTCCTATACTTCACGTGTTAAATTTTTTCTTCTTTTGCGTTTTCTGGCGAGTAGTGTTTTTGGTCATCTATCGTAAATTTCATAGGGTACCAATTGAGCTTCAGCACCAGGGTCGCGTACACTTCTTCAGAACATCAATGGTTACGGTCACTACCTCGGATGAGACGATCGAATGGGCAGATTGCTCTGCTTGAACAGTTAAGCACACATTTTTTTCCATTTTTCGTATTTACCGAAATTTAAGTCGTAAAAGTACTGTTTCAGAGCGACCTATTGGTTCGATCGTCTCATCCGAGGTAGTGACCGTAACCATTGATGTTCTGAAGAAGTGTACGCGACCCTAGTTCTGAAGCTCAATTGGTACCCTCTGAAAGTTACGATAGATGACCAAAAACACTACTCGCCAGAAAACACAAAAGAAGAAAAAATTTAACACGTGAAGTAAAGGAAAAGGGTTCATGGAAACAGCTGTATCTCAGGGCAAAATCTAAATTTTGTAATTTCGAAAAAAGCAATGGAAAGGGACGGAAAAATCCTACTCAATAAAGCAATAAAAAAATTTCGAGTTTAAGGTGTATGTGTCCCCTTAATTTAAACCAAAAAATGTTCTCTAAATTTCTTCAAAATCAGTAAAAGCACTTTTTCTAATCTACCACTATTATACTTCCTTAAAAGCTCGCGCTCGCGCGTATGTGTGTGCCAGAGTATGCACACGTGCACATCAAAATACAAAAAGCTTCGGCGATTACTTTGGCCCAAGTACTTCAGTCAGAGTGAAGGAAGCAACTTTATACGTCAAAAGTACGCATGAGAGATCGAGTATAAAAGTGTCTTCGAAGGCGTACGTGCAAAATTACTTTCTTCTCTTTTGTTCGAGCGAAACTTTTTACTCCGAGAATTAATGCCAACCATTACCATATGTGCACTCGCCACGCGTATACTCGAATAGTTCGAAAATCGAGTTCAGCCGTAACGTATCATAATGCGTTTTAACATTATTACGCTACGCGATGATGATCTACCCCCGGCGTATCGAATTTTCATCGCATCATCATCGATGCAGCATGCCGAATTTCTGACCCGCGCCCGTCGACAGCCTCGAGTTGTATCATATATGTGTATGTGCCTCGCGGAGTACAATACCACGTAATAATCCGTGTGTGAAATCGTTTCGCCGCGTCGTTGCGGATCATCATCATCATCGTCGTCGTCGTCGTCGTTGTTTTCCGAACAGGAAAAGACAATCCGTCTCTCGACATGCGTATTACGTGTAACGGTACTTTATATATATAGGTATACGATCGCATCAGCCCCGTTTACTCGCGTCTATATATCCCTGCCTTATATTACATCGTAAAGAAGCAGTCGAGTCAGCTGGAATTTCGACTCGAATAAAAATCATACAACATTTCAATTATTCCTCCTCCCCCAAAAAAAAATTCTGTAAACGTTTAAGAAACTATCGCACACGCACATATAGGTCTAATATTGTATTCACTTCACGAAACCGCACGAATCGAAAGTTCCTCGTGGGCAACTAAACAACAACAACAACAACAACAGCAGCAGCGCTGCAACTATACAACAAGTACGAGAAATTGGAATGCAGATGAAGCGGTGCGGTGCTGCCGCGCGTTTATGTATGTATATACAGCCACCACCGCCACCGAGCTATTATGCGACTTATATTTCCATGTCTCGCGGTTAGATAGATCTCTACGGCAAAGCGCATGTATATATATAGCTATGTATATAGAGAGAGAGAATTCCATTTTCGCGAATTAACATCGAAATCCAGAAGAAGAGATTTGAATACGCGTGTTTATACGCCTATATAGCTCTGTGTGGGAGGCGTAAAGGCATACATACATGCGCGAGCTTAAATCTCATGCAAAACAATTCCGCTCGCTCCGTAGCTTTGCGTACATATAGGCGTTTGTGTGTGCGAAGGAGAGAGAGAGAGAGAGAGAGAGAGAGAGAGAGAGAATAATGACTCGTTAAACGATCTCCACGCAGACTATAACTCGCCTTCGTTTTTTCAATTTTTCCCAATTTTTTTTTATCGTCCTCGTGCTTCTAATATATTACGAACTACGAAGCAACGACGAGGAGTGAATCTTTGACATTGTCGCTACTCTAGCAGCTCGTATTTCTCTCTCACTCTCGCTTCTCTTAGGAGGATTAGGAAGTACAGCAGCTACGCGCATACGAGCTATATACGAGTAAGAAGATACGATTTCGCGCGTACAGAATTACGCTTCTGTGTGTGTGTGTGTGTGCGTCTCGCTACAGGGCGAGCTTAAGTTTTGCCTACGCGTATTATTAAACAGCATCACGCATGTGTCGTACGTGCACATATATGTATTCAAAATTAATCAGTCTAAGAGGCGGCACGTATATATACGAATATGACCCGAGAGCTTCAATTATGACAAAAGTCATCCCCCTCGCATCTTGCGCTGCGCTGCACACTGCGCGACTTATATATACATACCCTCTCTCTGTGAGGCTGAGCCCGTTTACATGTATATAAAGCATATGTGTGTGTCCGTGTGTGGGTGTGTTTGATAGCGGCCTCGCGCGCCAAAGTGCATATATACACACACAGACGCTCTCCGCCACGGGCACGTACGGTCGTCTTACACACTCGACGTTCTCCGCTCTCAAGACGTCTTCTTCTTCTTCTGCTTCTTCTTCTACGTCTCGTCTCTCTCTGATTTTTTTTTCATTTTTTTTTCATTTTTTTTACGTGGCCCACATTTTTTATATAGGACAGACGGGGGGCGCTGCTGCGCACACTTGACTCACATATTATTCCATGCCCATCGGATCGCTCGGAGGAATTATCGCCGGGGAAAATTAATAATTCCGCGTTGCCGTATCGTCTGTGATCTGGGTCGTCAGGGGGGATGGGTCGCCGCGTAAACGGAATACGTTACCGATTTTTTTTCGAGAGAGAGAGTGAAAAAGCGACCTTGGCCACTAGAGAGGCTCGGAGCCGACTTTCGCATTAATAATTTTAGAAATGTCAACGAAAGTCTGACATTTATCTGTTAGAAACGAACGTTAGAAGTGATATGTATTTTGCAATGTTATTTTGAGTATGTGTTGACTTATTTTACGATAGTTTGAATTTTGTCTCATAATTAATTGACATTTTGAAAATTCGATTTGGTCGGCGATTTACTTTTGTTTACGTTGAACAGTTAACGATTCGGTACGATGACTTGTAAATGTTATTGAAGTCAAATTAATTAGCCCATTTCCATGTCTAGTACGTGAGAATAATTAAAGCAGTCGTCGACTACATTTGACAAAATGAAGTCCAGTGGTATAATTAACAATGCCGTCAAGTAATTTTCACATCATAAAACATACAAACTATTTAATTTTGTTCAATTTTCAAAACTCATTGATATTTTCAGAGTGAAGGATGAGCCCGAAGATATTTCGCTGTATGAAAGTGAAGACTGTGCAAGTTTTCAATATATACAATTTCTGCAAGATAATGCCGTAAGTTGATGAGATATTTATGACTAAATTATAGCAATAATTTCTCAATATAATTTTATTACAGACTCAAACGATTGTAAAAAAGGAAGAAATTCATGATTCTCAACTAGAGGATGAAATTGAGATAGAGTTTGAGAGCAAAGATGTAAAACCTACCATAACTTCGTTTGTACCGCAAAAATTAGACTATTTGTTCCAAAATCGTACTGCAATTAAAAACGAGCCATTAGACATGGTGAAAAAAGAATATTTTGACGATAATGTGCAAAAATCCAAAAAAAAGCCGACTTTAAAATCTATAATCCAGGACGAAAAATCTAAAAAGCCGAAGGCATGTTCAAAAAAGTCCGGAAGAAAAAGTAAAAACAAAGAGCACATAGAGACGACAGCTCAAGATCAAATTGCCCATTCGTGTGGAATTTGTGGAAAGAAATTCTTGCAGAAGCACAAACTCGAAATCCATACCGATGTAGTTCATAATGGTCAAAAACTTCGAATTGCTCACACATGTGACTCGTGTGGAAAGACATTCACACGTAAGTCCAATCTCAAAAATCACATCGATTTTGTGCACAAAAATCTCAAGCATCATAAATGTGATGAATGCCAAAAGTCTTTCAGTAGCAAAAATAGTCACAATCGCCACATAAGTACGGTGCATAATGGTATAACTTATACATGCGATTCATGTGAAAAAACATTCACACAAACGGGTTATCTAAAGGTCCACATCGGTACAGTGCACATGAATAATAGAAAACTTTTCAAATGTGACGAATGTCAAAAATCATTCGACTATAAATGTAATCTCAAATTACACATAGATAATGTACATAAAGGTATAACTCACCCATGCGATTTATGTGAAAAAGTATTCAGACAAAAAGCGAGTCTTAAAGTTCACAAAGATGCCGTGCATGAAGGTATCGCTTACCAATGCGATCGATGTGAAAAGTCATTCACACGAAAAGGCAAGCTTAAACTCCACGTCAACGAAGTACACAATGGTAAAAAATAAAATGTGTCGTCCTCACATAGACTTGAAACTGCAACTGGGCGAAATGCATAAGAATTTTCAAATTACAAAAATCAAAACGTGTAACTAATTATGCTTGTGATTTATGTGGAAAAATATTTACACGAAAGCTTGATTTAAAAGATCATGTTCATTCTATGCATAAAGCTACGAAAGGACATTATCACAAAAAAGTCATTTGAAAGTCCATATTAATTTAGTGCACAGTAGCATCACTTGCACACGTGACTCGTGTGTAAAACCATCAAAACAAAGGAACAATCTTCAAGTCCACATTGAAACGAAGCATAGTAGTTGTGTTCGATTTGCAAGTGACCCATGCGAAAAATCATTCACACGAAAATACCATCTTAAACGTCGTACGAATGTATTAGGCAAAAGACAAAAACAGAATTTTAAATAATTTTAATATGTGGGTAAACCTATACGAGGATGCCTAAAAATTTTGATTCTTCTATCTTCTAAAAGTTAAAAATGATATTGTCTCATGACAATAAAATGTTGTCAAAAATAATGAGATATGAAAATTATCTTCACTTATACAAATGTAATATATTGATAGTTCGTAGTTATTGTCAAATCTGAATAAAAACACATATTCAAATATAGATAATGGGTAACGAGGCGCGAAACTCAACATCAAAAATATTATTTCCCAAAGGTCTAGTAAACTACATTTTTCGATCCCAAAACTTGCTAATTTGATAATAATTTTATAATAATTTGATAATAATTTGATGAATTTTATAATTTCATACTTTCGTTGTGAATTGATAATAGGACATAGTTTTTAAGCATTTATTGCATTAAATATATTTACTATTATACTTTTTTGAGTAAATTCTATTCATTTATAGGCTGGAGTTGTAAGCAAAGCTCGTTTTCAATTGATCAATCATCAGTAATATTTTCATTATTGAGTCATTTTCTAAATTACATCTGATCCCGTTTGATCATAGGTGATTTTTGTGATACTAAACGCGTCTTCGAAACAGAGCTCGTTTAAATCGTATAGACCATCGTTATATTATTATAATGTAAATCAGCTTGTGTATTGAAGAATGAAAAAAAGAAAATATTGACTTTTACTTACAACACAGACCAAACGTCAAAAGACACATTCAGCAGCAAAATAGTAAGTATATCGATCATGGGCCAGCGCGTTCCAACTTTCACATCTTACCTGTTTGTCTGATGCGATATGTGTTGTATGCGTGGCAGGCTATTGTCAGTTTCACCGCCGCATGTCATTGACGACTAACGATTTGATGAGTCTACAAGTATTTCACGTGACTCACTGCCACTGCAGTTAAAATATAAAATTTCAATGAATAAATATAGTTGAAAATAAAATAATTTTGGTACATGATCTGTCAGATATATCCTCTTTTATTTCATATAATCGGGCTCTGCAGTCTGTGTAGTGACTACATATAGCAGCGAAAAACTCGGCCGCAGTCCTATTTATTCTTTCATTTCTGATAATTGTTGTTTCAACCAAAATATGAGTTATTAACAAGAACCAGTCCGGAAGTCATAAAAAAATCCCAAAAGTTATGTGAGTACCGATTTGTATTCATTTCGTGGTAAATTCGAGTTTAAACTTGACAATTCTGAGTTAAACGCATTCGACAGCATCGATTACGATTAGATAGTGCTCGACTCGATGGACCTCAGATAGACTGAGCGACGCGTATATAGACAAATTCAAACTATAAACAAGCCAAGTGAGCCCGAGGCGCCACGATCTGCTGACTTATTGACCATCGCAGTTCATGTCTCATGTACGATTCAGTCTGCGGCCGATCGCCCTGGAAGTGAATCAGAAGTATAACACATCATACTTTTTTTCTTAGTGTCTCTGAGATTGGCGCATTATCTCCAAGTGTTTTTCTTATGCTAGACCTAGCCAAGGCTTACGACTTTTTAGTGATACTTTGTGTATCTGGCTAACTCAGGAAAATCGTTGACTGTACTCGTTACCGTTGTTATTAGAAGGTACTATCGTCCTACCCATGACTCGTTAAAAAATACGTTACAAAAATAAATTACACGAAAAAACGACAGTTTTTGTTTGCATAGTCACATGGAGTACTGTGAATTTCTAAATTTCAACAAATATTTGTTTTGTATTATATACCGATAATTTGAGAAAATATTTTTTCTAAATTGTTACTAATACTCCATCTGTAAATTTTCATCTACTCAACTTGTTGTTTTTCTGTCGTACATGGCTGAGCAATTAGAAATTCCTCGACTAACATAAAGATTGGTATTTTTTAGATTCGCAACAATGGAATGTCGATCTCCTCGAAATACTGGAATCGTAATAACAGAAAATTATATACACCGAAATGAAGAAGAAGATGACTTGGAAGAAAGTTTTCTTTCGCATGAGAGATTGAAAGAGTACAAAAAAGTACAAGAAGTCCTTCTAACATTTTCGAGAACTAAGTATGTATAGAAATTTCAGTTACATAATTTTAAAATTATAAACTTATAGTGTAGTTCCTATAAGTTAAGTACATTTATTTAATTCAAGACCTAAAAATAAATCTGACGTAAGGAAATTCCTCATAAACATTGCCGCAAGCTCGACAAGGCTTCTAGCACTTTTAGAAGATATATCAATTCAGGAAACAGGTTGTAGGACAAAAACTAAAAAAAATCATAAATGTGATGAATATGATAAATCTTCCACCAAGGACCAAAGTATTCCGGAAAAGATAAATCAGCATCTTGGGCATAAAAATGATAGTAAGTAAAACATTTATAAATAATGATATGTATAGAAACTTTTAAAACGAGTTATTTAAAATGGTTGATTATTTTTTAGAAAAACGTGAACGGTTACCAAGAGTAGCTATGCAAAGAATCGGAACTAAAAGGCCGTCTGGAGGTACGTCCATAAATTCGATATGATTGAACAATTAGTTTCATAAAAATTCCATTCACTCAGCTATCTCAGCAATTCCTCATGGAAATTTTATATACTCATTTTTCGAAAAATGTTTAAGCTAATTGCAGGTTGATATTGCCTTAATGACTGAAGTAATCGACTGCAATATTTTGTTTTCAGAAGAGCCCAAAGATATGTCACTACATGGAAATAATGACCACACAATGAATAACAAAACGTCCGGCTCTACAAGTTCTGAGTGCATAGGATTTCTGCAAGAAAATACTGTAAGGATTTTTAATTTTCGCCTAAATTATAGCTAAAAAACGTGTGAAAGACTTTAATTTTCTTTCAGATTCAAATGCTTCTACAAAAAGATGAAATTTGTAATGCTCAGTTGAACAATGAGACTGAAATAGTGTTTGAATGCAAAAATGTAGAACCTACCATAACTTCGTTTGCACCGCGAAAATTTGACTATGTGTCCCAAGGTCAGTTGAAAGATTCAGAAATTAGCGAAGCAAATCGTGTCACGATTAAAGATGAGCTATTACGCATGGTGAAGAAAGAATATTTGGACGATAGTATGGAAAAATTGAATTTAAATAAAGACTGCGAAACCAATGCGCAAAACGATATAATTCCGCCTCTAAATTCTATACACGACAGCAATGAATCTGAAAAGCTTGAGACATGTTCAAACAAGTTCGAAAAGAAGAGTAATCTCAAAGTCCATCACGATACGGCGCTCAATCACATTACCCACTCGTGTGACATTTGTGGAAAGAAATTCACACAGAAGACCAAACTCGATATCCATACTGAAGTAGTGCATAATCGTCGGAAACTTTACCAATGTGATACATACGGAAAGACGTTTGCGTTAAAAAACAATCTTGACCGTCATATTAATTCAGTTCATATTGACCCTGCATGCCATGCACCCAGAAAAACAATTACACAAAAAGATTACTTCGTAAATCACATTGATTTAGTGAATAATGGTCAGAAATCTCACGATCGCGGTACAGGTGGACAGGCATTTAGACAAAAAGTTGCTCTGAAAAAACATTTTGATTCGGCAGGTAGAAGTATTATTCACACATGTAACTCGTGTGGAAAGACGTACACAAGTAAATCCAATCTCAAAAATCACATCAACTTTGTGCACAAAAATTTGAAGCATCATAAGTGTGATAAATGCCAAAAGGCGTTTAGTTGCAAAAGTGCTGTTAATCTCCACATGAGTACGGTGCATAATGGCATCACTCGTACATGTGATTTTTGTAAAAAAATATTCACACGAAAGGGTAATCTAATGGTCCACATTAATATGGTGCACATGAGAAATGAAAAACTTTACAAATGTGACGAGTGTCAAAAATCATTCAACTACAAATCTCATCTCAATTCTCATATTGATGATGTACATAAAGGTATAACTCACCCATGCGATTTGTGTGAAAAAATATTTTCATCAAGAACGGGTCTCAAGTATCACAAAGATTCTATTCATAACGATATAACTCATCAATGCGATCAATGTGAAAAATCATTCACACAAAAAAACAACCTTAAACTCCACATAAATAAAGTACACAATGGTAAAAAACCAAATGCGTTATAATATTTACGTTGATTTTATGCTGCATATTAGAGAAACAAATGAGAATTGTTTTTCATATAAATTTGATGTAATTGATGAATGTATTTAACGTTTTTACTACAGGCTTTTGTCACACAGAATCTGATAAAATTTCAACAACAATTTTTATTTTATTGAGAATAAAATTACCAACGAATATTTTAAGTATTCAAAGTTTTTCAACATATGTTAATTATTTGATGAATTTTATTATATTATACACACTCAAATTTACATTGAAATATTTTAATATATGTGCCCATCGTATTAATTTTAAGCAATATTGCTTATAATTTATAAAATTCTTCTAATATTGTTACAATATATCTGAAAAGACTTTTGTTTTGAGCAGTTTTGCTGTGAACACACAATGTGACGATTTCTTCTTCTTCTCTTGATAATTTTGAACGCAAAATACTACTTTTGCGATATATCATCACAATGGTAATGGTATATTCAATCGTAGCAAAGCGATGCAGGGAACGACAAGTTCTTGGAATTGATCGAAGAATAAGTGCACACTTACTGCCACTGCTGTTGAAATATACCATGTCAATAAATAAATAGTTGAGAATAAAATAATTTTTGCATCGCAATACATGATTCGACAGATATATCCTCTTTTTATTTTGTATAAGTGTGGTCGACGAGTATCTAATCGTCCGCTGCTGTTAGTTTCGCATATAGAGCTCTCCAGCTCTCCAGCAAAAAACTCGGTCGCAGTTCTATTTCTTCCTTCATCTTCGATTCTCGCTGTTTTGCCAAAATAACGAATTCTTAATGGGAATTAATCAACGAGACGTAGAAAATATGAAAAATGTCAGTCTCAATTTAAATCCGTGAACAGACAGAGTCTTTTACGCGTATGCCTCAAGCAGACGTCCAATAAAACTTCTTTATTTACCTTACGACCCTGCGGAATGAGGCCGCTGTGCAGCGCCCCCAAACAGTCAATCTGTTACACATACAAACTGATTACTGAAAGCAGACGAGTGAGTTGCCTACGATAGTAACAACAAATCTTCTCTTGTTCACGGGGACAAGTGGTGACAAGTGTTTCAAATCAAATTTGTTATCATCAATTCGACTATTAATAGTGGGTGGGAAACATTGTTAGTGACGCGACTCATTGAAAAAGACGTTACGTGTGTGATCGAGCGAAACGCTTAGACAAGTGTAAACAAACGAAGAAAACGTCTTGATCTAATGACTTATTGACCAGCACTTTATCAAATCAGTCTCCGATCTATTTCATATTTTCTTTTTTGGGTCCTTGAGATTTTAACACATCATCGTCTTACCTACGACTCGTTCAAAAAGTCTATACGCGTGTGCGTGAGCATGCCGAAATTCAGCGTAAACTAACCAAGTGAGGCACAGACACCGGACCTGATTTATTGACCAGCAGTTCATATAGGACACAGTATTCCCCCTACAAGTAAGTCAGAAGTATGAGATTTTATATTTTTTTCTTAGAGTCATTTTAGCGCATTATATCCACTTATTTATCTTGTTCTGAAGCCAGCCCAGTATCATTGCTATTTTGACTCGTAAAAACCTTCGACCGCATCGATTTCGCTGCCATCCCACGACTTTTTAAGAGTTCGTGTATACGACTCGGTCTCATATCAATGCCCCTAAAAGTAAGTCAAAAGTGTAAAATTCATATTTTTTTAGTACCTCTGAGATTCGCGCGTTAAAACTTCCTCGACTAACATCAGCATTGGTATTCTTTAGATTTTAAACGATGGAAAGCCGACTTCATCAGAACAATGAGACCGAAACTACGGAAAATTATATACACCGAAATGAAATAGAAGATGACCAAGAAGGAAGATTTCTTTCGCTTGAGGAATTGGAAGAGAACCAAAAAGTACAAGAAATGCTCGTAAAATTTTTGAATGCAAAGTACGTATACGAGTTTCAATTACATAATTTAAAAATTATAAATGTATGGTGTATTTTCTATTAATTAGGTATTTTTATTTTAATTAAGATCAGCCAATAAATCTGAATTGCGGAAATCCCTTTTTAACATTGCCGCGAGCTTGATGAGGCTTCTCGCGATTCTAGAAGATACTCCAAATCAGCAAACAGATTGTAGGCCAAAAATCAATGCAAATCATCAATGTTATAAATATGATAAATCTTCAACCAAAGACCAAAGTATTCCGAAAAAGATAAATCGGCAACTTGGTCAAATAAAATATAGTAAGTGAAACATTTATTGATAGTAAAATAGCTTTTAAAACAAGTTATTTAACATAGTTAATTATTTTTTTAGTAAAAACTAAACAAATACCGAGAGTAACAATAAAAAGAATAAGCAGCGATAACAAGCCTGGATATGTCGCTAATATAGATAAATCACTTCATGAAAATGATGAATGTAAAATTAATGAAAAGAAACCCGACTATAGAAGTTCACAATATATCTCACCTCGGCAAGATAATTCCGTAATATGATTATATATTTGCATCCAAGTTACATCCATCGTTATTAAATAAAATTTGCCGTGAATCATTTCCGATTTTATTTCAGATTCAAACGCTTTTACAAAAATATGAATTTCCTAATACTCAATTGAACAATGAGACTGAAATAGTATTCGAATGCAAAAATGTAGAACCTACCATAACTTCGTTTGCACAGCAAAAATTAGACTATTTGTCCCAAAATCAGTTGCAAGATTCAGCAATTAGCGAAGCAACTTGTGCCACGATTAATAATGAGTTATTAAGCATGGTGAAGAAAGAATATTTGGACGATAGTATGGAAAAATTGAATTTAAATAAAGACTGCGAAACCAACGAACGAAGCGAAATAATACTACCTGTAAATTCTGTACATGACAACGAAGAATCTGAAAAGCTTGAGACATGTTCAAAAAAGTTGAAAAATAACAGTCATCTCAAAGTCCACAAGGATACAGCCCACAATCACATTACCCACTTGTGTGAAATTTGTGGAAAGAAATTCATGCAAAAGCACAAACTCCAAATCCATACTGAAGTAGTGCATAATCGTCGAAAACCTTACCAATGTGATACGCGTGGAAAGACATTTGCAAGGAAGGATAAACTTGTCCATCATATTCATTCAGTACATGATGTAATTACCCACACATGTGACTCATGTGAAAAGACATTCAAAACCAAAGTCATTCTAAAAAACCATATCGATTATGTTCACAAAAATCTCAAGCGTCATAAGTGTGATAAATGCCAAAAGTCATTCATTCGCAAAGGCGTTCTGAATCAACACACGAGTACGGTGCATAATGGCATAACTTATACATGCGATTTATGCGAAAAAAAATACACACGAAAGCATAGTCTAAGGCTCCACGTTGATATAATGCACATGAGAAATGAAAAACTTTACAAATGTGACGAATGTCAAAAATCATTCAATTACAAATCTCATCTCACTTATCATATTGACGATGTACATAAAGGTATAATTCACCCATGTGATTTGTGTAAAAAAGTATTTAGAAAAAAATCCAGTCTCAGATTACACAATGATTCCGTGCATAATGGTATCACTCACCCATGCGATCAATGTAAAAAATCATTTTCTCACAGAAGCACCCTTAAACTCCACATCGATAGAATACACTATGGTAAAAAATAAAATGTGGGATAGTTCTTACATAGACATGGAGTATGCATAAATCTTTTAATATTTGCACGGATTTCAAGCTGAAGATGGGAGCAATACATGAAAATCGTTTCTTATATAAATTTGATGTTAGGCCGATTTTACCACAGGCCTTTGTTTGGATCCTAAACAATTTAAAAAATCGTTTAAATTTGATGGATAGTGGATGTGAAAAAATGAAGTAAATTATTCTGTTAAAATTTTATAATTTTCTAAAAATGCATGTGTAACTTAACAAAATCAAGTTCAAAACTGGAATATCATTGCAGACAAAATAAAGATATTATCATAAATCCACGCTGTATTCAATCCCTATCTGTCAATTCACTCTATATCGAGAAGCGATGATATTTATTTTTGTTCATTTATTTATGTTAAGTGTAAATAATGCAAAAATTCCACAGTTTTTTCAACTTGAATCTGGTACTATGTTCAAACTATTACCCGCATTTAGAATCACTGAGTCCACATTTATCAACACTCCGACATAAAATCGACATCAGTGAAAACTTGTGCGTGAATAAATATGTATTACATTTCATCAGTGAAAACTTATAAGTGCGAGGCGTGTGCGTTGAGTTTGCGTTAGTTTTTGACTGCGAGGCAACACACAGCACCTGAGCACGCAAAAATAACTGAGCAGCCGACGCGTCTGCGTTTCACCGCTGCAGATTGCAGAAACGAACGAGCGGACTTGTCGGCAGCAGTCGAGACTCCGAACCAGTCACAGCCCGAACAGACAATAAGATTTTTTCGTTGCACAGATTATATTCACTGCTCGTGTAGTCTGACAAGCTATATAAGGTCCAGATTTGGTTATTTTACTAATATAGAGAGATACATGAAAATCGTTTCTTATGTAAATTCGATGCAAAGCCGATTTTACTATAGGCCTTTGTTGTTCGGAATCTGAAAACAATTTGAAAAATCGTTTTAATTTGATGAATTATGCCAACAAATACTATATAAGTATTGAGTGTAACGAAGGACATTGAAATAAACGTATTTTTTTAATAAAACTTGATAATGACATGCTCATCTCATTGAAACAATTCTACAGATCATTTTCCGATGAATGTCGAATTCTTATATATCACAGAGTTCTCCAACATGTACCAATTATTTGATGAATTTTATTTTATGTTGTATACAATAAGAAAATATTTCAATATTTACATTTAGAAATGTTAAAATGTATGCCCATTACATTAATTATATATGCAATATTGTTTATAATTTATAAAATTCTTCCAATATTATTTATGTAAAAAAATTCGCATGTATTCTATTGCTAACTTTCAAGATTTTGTTTTTAACATTTTTTTCAGAGGTTCCTCATCGAATTACAAAACCGCAAAGATTGAAAATGTGATGAGTTCTTGATAACTTTGAACGTGAAATTAAAGAACGACTTAGAAAAAATATGTAAAAAACAAAGAGTTCTTTACTCCAGTTAGTTAATACTATTTTCTTATACACGTTTTCGAAAAAACGATTTTCTTGTTAGGTTCACCCAAAATACGAATTCTCAACGCGAATTAGTCAACGAGACGCAAAAGACCAGAAAATACTGTATCTAATTACATCCGTAGAAAATTCGGGTCGAAACGTCAAAATTCCGAATCAATAATATTATAATATGGCAACCTCGCGGTCAGTCTTTTACTCGTATACCTGGAGCAGAAGTTTGATTCAACTTTGCTGTGCAGCGTCCCCAAACTGCCGCAGTCTCATACAGTTGATTACTAAAGCAGACGAGCGATTCCAAGGCCAAAAAAAAGAAGAAGAAGAAGCAGACGAGCGAGTTGCCTATGATAGTGACAACAAATGTTCTCTTGTAAACGTGGACAAGTACTTGACTTATAATCTTGAAGTCTAGTGTTTTAAATCGAATTCGATAGCATCAATTGCGCTATTAATAACGACTAATGAAAAATAAGTGCTTGACGTTGAAATACACAAGTGACGCGACTCGTTGAAAAAGACGTTACGTGTGCGATAAGTGTAAACAAACACATAGACAAGCGTAAACAAACGAAGAAAACATATCGATCTGCTGACTTGTCGACCAGCACTTCATCAATTCAGTCTCCGATCTATTTCATATTTTCGTATTTTTGCCTCTGAGATTTGAACACATAATCGTCTCACCCACGACCTGTTCAAAAAAGTCTACACGCGTGTGCTCGAGCGACGCATCGATTCTATTCTGAGATTTAGCATAAACTAACCAAGTGAGGCCAAGACGCTGGACCTAATTTATTGACCAGCATTTTAAATGAATTTATTAATTTTCATATATTCTTATTTTTTTGCGGGAAGGTTACACTTCCTTAAACAACTACATAATAATTTCGAATAAAATTTTCGTAGCAATGTATAAGGATTAATGTTTTTTGAAATTAGTTTTGCTTTTAATCAAATGGCCATAAATTGTTAACATATTTTTTTTATTTTCATAAACAAATGAAGTATTGTAAATTGCAATTGTCAAAAAGACTTGTTTGGTTTAGTATACCGAACTTTTGGAAAAACTTTATTTCTAATTTTTTACTCGAACTTCAGTCCTGAATTTTCATTCATTCCACTTGTTTTCCTGTCATAATCAGTCGCGTCATGTCTCGCTTAACATAAACAATGGTATTTTTTAGATTTGCAACGATGGAATGTCGACCTCTTCAAAACAATGAGACCGAAATTACAGAAAATTACATACACCGAGATAAAGAAGATGACACAGGAGAAAGTTATCTTTCACATGAGGAATTGGAAGAGTACAAAAAAATACAAGAAGAGTTTCTAACATTTTCAAATGCAAAGTATATAGAGAAGGATCAGCTACATAATTTTAAATATTAATTAGTTTCTAATAATTAGTTTCTATTAATAGAGTACTTTAATTTAATTCAAGACCTAAAAATTTGTACTTTTATTTCATTTTAGAATTACAAATAAATCTGATCTGCGGAAATCCCTCTTGAACATTGCATCAAACTTGATGAGGCTTCTTGTCTTTTTAGAAAATACTCCAAATCAAGAAAGTACAGGTTTTGCGGCAAAAGTCAAAGCAAATCATAGATTCAATGAATATGATAAATCTTCAAGCAAGGACCAATGTATTCCAAAAAAGCCAAATGGGCAATTTGGGCAAATGAAAGATAGTTAGTAAAATATTTATTGATTATGGTATTTATTATAGCTGTTAAAACAAGTTATTTGACATAGTTAAATATATTTTTAGGAAAAGATGAACAAATACCGAGAGTAACAATAAAAAGAGTAAGCAGCAGTAACAAGCCTGGATGTGTCGCTTATATAAATAAATCACTATATGAAAATGAAGAATATAGAATTGATATGCAGGAACCCGACTCTGGTAGTTCACAATATATCCCATTCCTGCAAGAATATGCCGTAAGTTTATTTTACGTTTGCGATTAAATTATAGCTAAAAATGTGTGAATGACTTTCATTTTCTTTTAGACTCAAACGTTTCTACAAAAAGATGAGATTTTTAATACTGATTTGAACGATGAGACTGAAATAGTGTTTGAATGCAAAAATGTAAAACCTACTGTAACTTCGCGTACACCGCAAAAATTAGATTATTTGTCCCAAAATCAGTTACAAGATGCAAAAATTAGCGAAGCAACTCGTGCTACGATTAAAGATGAGCGATTAGACATGATAAAGAACGATAATGTAGAAAAATTAGATATAAATATTCACTGTGAACCCAACGGTCAGAATGAAAAAGTTACGCTCGAAGAATGTTCTAAGACGAGCGAAAAATCTGAAAAGTTTAATACACATCCAAAAAAGTTTGTAAGGAATAGTAATCTCAAAATCCTCAAACAGACAGCGCGAGATCGCATTACTCACTTGTGTGACATTTGTGGAAAGAAATTCATGCAGAAACACAAACTCAAAATCCATACTGAAGTAGCACATAATGGTCGAAAACGTCACAAATGCAATACATGCGGAAAGACATATGTGACAAAAGCTATACTTGACCGTCACACTAAATCATTGCATAATGGTATCACTCATGGGTGTGATTCATGTGGCAAAACATTCGCACGAAAAGATAATCTGAAAATCCATATTGATTCAGTGCATAAAGGTTTAACGCACCCATGCGATATATGCAGAAAAGTATTTATAACAAAAAACAGTCTCGAATTACACAAACATTCCCTGCATAAAGGCATAACTTACCCGTGCAATTTGTGCAGAAAAGTATTTTCCCAAAAAAGTCATCTCAAACGACACAACGATTCTGTGCATAATGGTATAACTCATCAATGCGATCAATGTGAAAAATCTTTTACTCAGAGAAACAACCTGAAAATCCATATCGATCGAGTACACAATGGTAAAAAATATTGCGATCAATGTGAAAAATCATTCACACGAAAAACCAACCTTAAACTTCACATCGATGATATACACAATTAAAAAAAACAAGACATGTAAGGATGTTTATATGGACTTGAGGTACACTTGGGCGCAATGCATAAGAACTTTTAAACAGCAAAAATCAAAACGTTAAAACATAGCTTCTTTGAAGAATTGTGGACCTTAGAACACTTAAAATCATAATTAATCACTAATTTTCTATACATTTATTAACTTATTACTGCATTAAAATATATCGATGTATGTTTTAAAAAGGTTTGAACTTTATTCGTGATCATTCAAATTCTTCACAATTATTTAATAAAATGGGCTTCGTATAGAATAGTTGTTTTTAAAAGATTCAATGTTTAATGCCATCACGAATTTTCTTAGTAATCCAAGGTACAAACTTCAAATGATAAGACTTTCTTTTTTGACTGTAGTCGTTTTTTTCGCACTCTTCTCTCGAGATGATTTGTCAAAAACTTATCTAAACTGATTTTAGCCAGAGCAACGAACGAAGATATGAGCCACCTCCAGTCCAGACCTGACGAACTTGAACATGAGATACGGACCGGCATGATATTACATGGTGGTTTTGAGTGTGAAGTGGTTTTTTAAAGAGTATACTTTCCCGCCACCGAGTTCAAACGAGACATTGACCGCGTCTGATTGGATTATACATATAGGCACGGCCATAAGCTTAATAAATTATAATTATTCGAAACGAACAAACATGTTCTGCAGAAATAAAAAGTAGTGTATAAGTCAAAAATGTATCATAAACGCTGACATTTATTAATGCAGAGCTACGAAGTAGCGCGAGCTATGCACAGTAGGGTATGCGTTGTTGTTGTTGATGTGTCCGAGCAAAACGCACGAACGCGCACAGCATCGTATACAATATGCGCGCGGCAAGCGAGCAGAATAAAGGAAGACAGAGATAGGCAGAGCCAAACGCTATAACTTTGACGTTTCAAAGGCATGCGTGAGCCGTCCGAGCAAAAATCGCGTGTTCTATGTATGTGTCCTTACATAAACTCACCGCCCCGTGCCCGTGCAGCAGCAGCAACGAACGAGTGCACGATTTTCGGCACGCGGTCGAGCGCAAACCAATCACAGACGCGTGACAGAAAGAATCCGTCGTCGCCGGCGTTAATACTGCTCGATAATCGCGACATCGCCCATCATCATTCGTGGATTAGCTCTCGTACCAGTCGGGTCGGGTCAAAGAGTCTGTACAAGGAATTATATCGCAGTCGCGGCCGCGTTTCATCATTATATACTCGGCATCGAAGCCCAATCAGCGAGTGTCAGTGCTATCTCAGCGGCCAAGGTCAACCCTCGAACACGCGTCGATTACGCTGATAACGTATGAGTGAGTGGATAAAGACTTTTTAACATCGTCCTATTGCACGTGATACGACTCGTTATAAAAGATGGTACGTACGCGGATAAATTCCGACGTCCAGTGTAAACAAGCCGAGTGAGCCCGCAGGACACTGCGACCTGCAAAAGTGCTGACTGTATCGACCAGCGGTTTATGACGTTCATGTATTCGTGCAGTCACTGTACAGTAGATCGCCCAACGAGTAAGTCAACAGTTATTTACATATTTTCTCTGAAAGTTGTGCATTTTTGAGTGAAATCTAGTCAACCAACATTGCTGTTTTGATGCGTGTTTATTACCCGACTGAAATTCCGCTTGGTATAAGAATCAAAACATTCAGGGAATCTTTGCTTTAATTTTTAACTCGCGCTGGAAACGTTTGCGTTTACTTATACTCGACTCGATCTAGTCTAGCTCTTTGACCCGAGGGTAATATCTTTCTCGATCCACAATGAGCAATCGCATTTTTCAGATTAGCCACGATGGAGCGCCGACCCGAAAACAGCAGCGCTAAAATTGCCGAAAAATCCATGAGCTGCCTGACGACGAAACTACTCTTCAGAGTCCACTACTTGATTTCGTCCGATTCGGACACGGACTACAGCGATTTTGACAATTTCGCCGATCTCTGGAGAAATGGATTCGATCGTAGCGACGTTTGCAGTCGTAAAACTTTGGAGAGCTGGTTGGATTACATGCAGTCGAACGGCGGCATCGACAACTGGAAAAACACTCATCCGTGTTTTCTTTTGAATAATCTCACCTTGGCTGCTTACTTGATGTGAGTGCTCATTACACAACTGTCGAAAATTATACTTATTGACATTAACTTATGATACAATGCTTTTACGTAGGAAGAGTCAATTTACCAATTTGTCGCGTAAGCTTTTCAATGATGTCAGATTTTCTACGGCCGATGTCGAGCAAATTCTCGACGATTTACATATAACTGATGATTCGTCGAAAAAGTACTCCAATGCGATCCTCAGTATATCGCGAAAACCTATAACGGAGGAGATTGTAAACAACATTTTTGAACCGTATAAAATAAGATTCATGAGAGAGGGAGAAAACAATTCCAACGTCATCGAGCCTGCTGAGCCTTCGTTGCGAGACATCAAGGATAAGCTGAAAAAAATCCTGTAAGTTCATTGATTTTGTTTTTTCATTTAAGTAATATATTTGAATTATAATTTATATTGCAGAGATGAAGCAGAGGCATCGGATGACGAAGAAGGGAGTTTTGTTACAGACGAGGAATCTGAAGTGTACATACAAGTACAAGAATCTGAAGAATACAAAACAGTACAAGAAGTGATTCTAAAATTTTCCAAAGAGAAGTATGTATACAAGTTTCAATTGCATAATTTGAAAATTGTATGTATTTTTTATAATATATTGTGCATTTTGGATTCATTTTAGACCTGATAATGAATGTGATCTGCGAAAGTCCCTTTTGAACATTATCGCCACCTCGACAAGACTTCTCGCACTTCTAGCAGACACTCATAATCAGGAAAGTACTAGTTCTGGGACAAAAACCAAATCAAGAAAGCGGCATAAATCTTATGAAATTGAGAATTCTTTATCATGCGAAAATGAAGTTATTATGAAAAAGAAAAAAGGGCATTCTATGCCAAAAAGATATAGTAAATGAAAACATTTATTAATGATGATATATAGAATAGCTTTTTTGACGATGAGTTATCTTTTAACTGGGATGATTATTTTCCAGGTATAAAGGAACTAATACCAAGAGTAATAATTGAAAGAATCGATCCCAGAAGGATATCTCAAGGTATATGTCCATAAACTAGATATGGTTGTGTAATTCAATTCAATTCACTTGGCTAGCTCAGAAATTACTAAAAACAAATTCTCCATCCTCATTTGCTCAACTAAGCTAGTTTGGTGGCACCATTTACTTTAAGAATTTTCAAGCTAGCCACACGGTGAGTTTACCTTAAAAGCTTTGTAAAATTAACTGTTATAATTTGTTTTCAGAAAAATCAAGAGATTTGTCCCTTCATGATAATGCTAAAAATACAAAGAATAACACAAGATCTGACACTGAAAGTTCACAAGACATACAATTTCTCCAAGAAAGTTCTGTAAGTAGATTAATTATTAGTAACTGAAGTGTAGGCAAGAAAATGTCTAAATAATTTTACTTTATTACAGACTCTAACGCTTGGAAATAATGAAGAAACCCACAAAAATGAATTGAGCAACGACATTGAAATAGAATTTGAGTGCAAAAATGTGAAACCCACTGTAACTTCATTTGTATCTCAAAATTTAAACATAAGTATTGACTGTGAACCCAACAACCAAAATGAAAAAATTCCACAGCTGCAATTGGTAGAAAAGAGCGATAAATATGTCAAAAGCAAGGTAACTTCAAAAAGTACTCTCAGAACTATTAGGAATTGGACCAGTCGAAAACGTCACAAATGTGATACATGTAAAAAGAAGTTTAAGTCAAAATTTACACTTGATAATCATATTAATAAAATGCATAAAGTTATTACTCTCCCATGCGACTCATGTGGAAAAACATTTACAAGGGAGGATTATCTCAACAATCATATTGATTCTGTACATAAAGGAGTAACTTACCCATGCGAATTGTGTGATAAAATATTTAAGCTAAAGCATACTCTCAAATATCATCAAGATTTTGTTCACAATGTCCAGAAATCGCAGAATTGTAATACACACAAAACGACATTTGCACAGAAGTGTCCAAAATCATTTAACTATAAGAATAATCTGTCTTCCAACATCAATACTGTGCATGAAAGTAAAAATTACCCATGCAATTTGTGCCAAAAAGTATTTAGAACTAAATTCGGTCTCAAAGAACATAGTAATTTCATGCACAATGGTATTGGTCACCCATGTAACCTATGTGGAAAATCATTTTCAGGGCAATACAAGCTTAAACGCCATATAAATGGAGTACACTATGGTATAAGACAATGATGCTTGTAAGGACTTGCATATGGGCGCAATAATGCATAATAATCTTAAACCTGCACAAATCAAATTAAAAAACAAAGCTTCTTTGAAGTATAGTGCACTGCTAGTAACAATTTAAGTTAATCACTAATTTTTTGCATGTATAAATTCATTGTTGAATCATTAAATCTAAGTATGTATGTATAGTATTAAACTTGATTTATTCAAATTCCCTCCAAATGTTTAAAAAAAAAAATGGACTATTAAATAGTTGATTTCAAATTGATGCCAATTCACTATGTAATGCCAATACCAGTTTTCGCCGTAATTTAAGCAGAAAGTAATTTTTTCAACTGCTTACATTTTTCCACCTTTCTTACTTGAATTTAATAGGCAAAAATTTGTACTGGAATGAATTAAAAAAGTTCAATTTTCACACAGTACTTGATAGTCGATGTGAAATTTTATATTTATCAACAAATGAAAGTTTTCCTTTTTACTTCATTCGAATATTTGAATAAAAGCTTTATTTGCATCGAGTACAAAAAGACGCGATCTTTGTAACCAGGAGAATCATATCAATTTTAATTGAATTATTATTAAAAACCTTAATGAACAAGGAACAGGACTTACAAACGAATTTGACGTATTTTAAATAAAAAGTATCGTGTGTATAAACATACATCTATACCTATACTATGGTTCATCAACTAGAGAACATACGCGAAAAACAGGCAAGTGAGTAAGAGAGACAGAAGACAGTCACCAAAGCACGATATCAGTGCAGTCTGCGGAGTATGTTATTCTAAGATTGTGGTTACTCGTTCCGGTCCCGAAACCCGCAATCAGTCTTGCTATCTGACCAGCTAAGATCCATCTTCAACCGCTTCGATTATAATACAGAGACTAGAGAGTGATAGACGGTCAACATCGTCCAACACACAACTCGTTAAAAAATACGTTACGCGTGTGATCGAGCGAAGCCGAGACGCCGCGAGTCGCGATCCACTCTGACTCGATGTAAATTCAGTCTCCTCTCGATCGCCGTACTATAGCAAATCAAAAGTTATTTCAGATTCGTGCATTATCTCCAAGTGTTCAACTGATAAGTGGGTGGTGCAAGTCTAGCTGTACAGCAGACCGATTTCGGTAAGCCAATTCGACAGCGTTTGTTTACTCTTCTTAATAGAAGGTGCTAGACGTTATTATCGTCGTTAAAAAATGACATTTATCGTGTGCTCGAGCGGGGTGCGTATAGACTTCGAGATTCAGCGTAGACGAACGAAATAAATTTATGTAAAATTACCGAATCAAGAAAAAACTCGAAATTTCGCCGAGTAAATAAATTCGATTGAAACAACTTACACGTGTAAAAGTTCAATTGATGAACATAACTAGTTTTTGAAATCTAGAAAGAATAGTTGTTAAAGAACAAATCCTAGAAGTGGAACTTTAACACAATTCCACCGAAAATCGAAAAACAAAGAAAAAATAACAATTTTAATAAAAATCAAAACTAATTTTAATGGATATATTTCAACCGAATGACAACTGTTTATTTAATTATCTAGTATTTGTAGGTATCAAAATTGAGTCGTCTGTAGGGTCCTTATTTTTGTTAAAAAATCATATTTCATCACACGAATGTGAACTCTTATAGCCATGAATATTTTTTCGGCTCAATCCAATTATAAAACCTTTCTCGACTAATATCAAACAATGATGCTATTCTTCAAATTAGATTCGCAACGATGGAAAGCCAACCTCCTCAAAACAGTGAGACTGCAATTGCGGAAAAATCCGTGGACCGAAACGAAAAAGAGGCCGACGAAGAAGGAAATTTTTTCTCCAGTGATGAATTGGAAGAGTATAAAAAAGTACATGAAGTACTTCTGAAATTTTTGACAGCAAAGTATGTATATAAGTTTCAGTTACATATTTTAAAATTTTTAAACATATTGTGTAGTTCCTATAAATTAATGATCTTTATTTTATTCAAGACCTAAAAATAAATCTGATCTACGGAAATCCCTCTTCAACATTATTGCAAGCTCCACGAGGCGTCTCGCATTTTTAGAAGATGCTACAAATCAGGAAACGATAGGTACTAGGACACAACATACCAAGTCAAATCAGCAAATTAACTCTGATGAATATGAGAAATTTTCAAACCCTGAGGACGAAATTATTCTGAGAAAGATTAAAGGGCATCTTGGACAAAAAAAAGATGGTAAGCAAAACATTTAATTTTCATGATATTAATAATTGCTTCTAAACAAATTAGTTTATAACATAGATATAATTTTTTAGAAAAAAATGAAAAAATACCACGAGTAACAATACAAAGAATTAGCTGCTATAACAAGCCTACAGATCCAGTGCTCTATAAAAATGATAACTGCAGAATGAATAACAAGACATCCGACACTACAAGTTCACAGTACATCCCAGTTCTGCAAGAAAATGCTGTAATATAATTAATTATTTGCAACTATAGCCGTCATTTTGTAAAACAATTTGTTATAAATAATTTCAATTTTATTTCAGAGTCAGACGATTATGAAAAAAGAAGAAATTGATGACACTCAATTGAACAAAGAAATTCAAATAGAAATCGAGTGCAAAAATGTAAAACCTTCGATAATTTCGTTTATACTTGAAGAATCAAATATAAGTATTAAATGCCAACCCAACAGACAAAATGAAAAAATTTCGCCTCTGAAATCTATACACTCGAGCGGGAAATCTAAAAAGTTTAAAGCATGCCCAGTTTGGGAAGATAAGTAATCTCAAAATCCATAAGGAGACAGATAGCAATATTCACTTGTGTGGCATTTGTGGAAAGAAATTTATGCAGAAGCACAAACTCGAAATCCATACTGAAGTAGTGCATAATGGTCGAACACGTCACAAATGTGATACATGCGGAAAGACATGTGTGACAAAAAATATTCTTGATCAACACATTAATTCAATTCATAACGGTGTCACTCATACCTGTGATGCATGTGGCAAAACATTCACACGAAAAGGTGGTCTGAAATATCATATTGATTCTAAATATGAAGGTGTGACTTACTCATGTTATATATGTGAAAAAAAGTTCGCCGACAAATGGTATCTTAAAAAGCATATTGATTTTGTGCACAATGGTCGGAAGTCGCACAACTGTGACATTTGTGGAAAGACATTTGCAAAAAGTGGTCATTTGAAACTCCATATTGATTCAGTGCATAAAGGTGTAAAGCACCCATGCAATTTGTGCCAAAAAGTATTTACACAAAAGGGCCATCTCAAGACACACAAAGATTCGGTGCATACTGGCATAACTTGCCCATGAAATTTGTGCCAAAAAGTATTTACACAAAAGGGCCATCTCAAGACACACAAAGATTCTATACATTATAGTATGACTCACCGAAGTGACCTGTGCGACCAGTCATTTGCCCAAAAAAGGAGCCTTAAACTCCACATTGATAAAGTACACATTGGTAAAATACGAAATATGTAATTTTATTTAAATGGACATTAAGCTGCACATGGATATAATGCATAGAAATCTTAATTTTAGCTATAATTAATCACTAATTTTTTAAATGTATAAATTCATTGTTGAATCATTGAATCTGAGACTGTTCATAAAGTATTTAAACCTTACTGGACTTAATGAACTATTTAATTGTTGATTTCAGAAGATATGCCAATTTATTATACAAGGCCAGCACGAGTTTTAGAGCGTTTGAGACACGAATCTCACCAATAAATTTAATTATTCTGTCAACTGAAACTATCTTTTTCGCATTTCTTTCTTATAGATTTGTACTCGAATAATTTGAAGATGTTCAATTTTTGCGCAGTATTCAATAGTTGATATAAAAATTCTTATCTCTAAAGTTATCTAAGTTCTCTCTTTTACTCATTTGAATAAAAAGCTTTCCGCAATGAGTACGGCAACCAAAGATTTTAAACAATTTTCATGATTATCATTCAAAACCCTACCGAATGCGCGCAAGCCTGCTGAAGCAGTCTAGTCACGCTACGTCGATTTACGGACCTATTTGATTTACTATATAGCGTAGTCGCACGAAGAACGCGAGCTATTAAGTACTGTTGACAGGTCATACGACTGAGCAACTCGAACGGACACGCACAGCGCGAAAACGACTGTCGCTAGAGAGCATAATATCATCTTTAGATTACGCTCGGACCGAATCGAATTAGTAAGTCTTGCTGTTTTATCAGCCAAGGTCCATCTTGGATCTCGTAGGTTATATACTTTATTGCTAAAATAGACTGATAAGATCGTCCGACGATTCGTTAAAAAAAAACAGTTATACATGTGATTGAGCGACGCATATAGACAATAGACACGGGTATAAACAAAGCAAGTGAGGCCAAGATGCCACAAACTACTGACACATCTGACTGAGCAGTTCGTGCTAGAAGATACAGTGTCCGTTTGATCACTCGAAACTGAATCGGATGTAATAAATATCTCATTTTTTCTTAGTGACTCTTAGAGCAGTGTATTATCTCCAAGTGTTCAGCTTGGACCAGTACCCACAAATCGTTAAAAAAGACGTTACGCATGTGATTGAGCGGCCAACACAGATTCAAACTTTGAGTGTAAATAAACCAAGTGAAGCCAAGGCCCAAGGCGCCGCGACCCGCTGACTTAGTGACCAGCAGTTCATTTAGGATTCAGTCTCCGGTCGATCGCCCAACGAGTAAGCCAAAAGTTATTTCATGTTTTCTTTTTTGCTCTTCTGACATTATCTTCGAGTGTTCATTTTATGCTGGACATAGTCGAGTCACATTGCCATCTTGGCGAGCCTTGCAATACTTGATCAAATCCGGTAAACCTTCGACCGTGTAGATCAAGTTGTTATTAGAGAGTGCTAGGCGTTATTAACACTGTTATAAAGATATTATTATCAAGATTAATGTTACGTTATTCATTTCTTATTTGAAAAGATTAATCGCAATCAAAAGATCGTATTTGATTATGTGAATTTAAACTCAAACTATTAGCATTCGCTCAACCCGGTTTGGTATAAAAATTTCCTTGACTAACAGTAAACAATGGTATTTTGCAGGTTTGCAAAAATGGAACACCGACCTCCTCAAAAAAGCGGGACCAAAACTACAGAAAAAAACATACACCAAGACATTGAAGTGGAAAGTCAAGATGAAAAATATCTTTCGCATGAAGAATTGGAAGAGTACCAGAAAGTACAAGAAGTGCTTCTAAAGTTTTTAAGAGCAAAGTATGTTTACAAGTTTTGGTTACAATTTAAAATTTTAAAAATGTTGTGCAGTTTCTATATTTTATTTATTGCTATTTTATTTAAGACATAATAATAAATTTGAACTTCGGAAATTCCTCTTGAACATTATCATGAGCTCGTCTAGGCTACTTGTACTTCTAGAAGGTACTGTAAATCAGGAAACTGGAGATACTGGGGGAAAAAACTCCAAAGTAAATCATCAACATGCATCTCATGACAATGAGAAATCTTCAACCAATCACGAAATAATTTCAAAAAAGACAAAAGGGCATTTCAAACCAAAGCAACATAGTAAGTGTATCATTCATTGATGGTGATATTTGTTATAGCTTTTGAAACAAGTAACTTTTTAACATAGCTAATTATTTTTCAGAAAAAAATGAACAAATACCAAGAGTAATAACCCAAAGAATTAGCTGCAATAACGATATTGATAGATCGCTTCAAGAAAATGATGATTTTAGGATGAATGACAAGGCATATGACACTACAAGTTTACAAAACAATCAAGTATTGAAAGATAATTGCGTAAGTTGATCAAATATTTGCAACTTAAGTATAGCTATAATAAATTCGTAAATAACTAAAATTTAATTTTAGACTCAAAGACTTGTAAAAAAAGAAGAAATTCATGATTCTCCAATGAACCACAAGATTGAGATAGAATATTTATGTCAAAATGTGAAACCCACCGAAACTTCATTGGTACCTGAAAAATTAGATATAAATATTAAATGTGAACCCAACAGACAAAACCAAAAAATTCCTCCACTGAAATGTATACTCAAGAGCAATAAATCTGAGCAAGCATGTACAAGAAAGTTGAAAAGGAAAAGTGATCTTAAATTTCACTTTGATGGCATTACTCACTTGTGTGACATTTGTGGAAAGAGATTCACACAGAAGCACAAACTCAAAATCCATACGGAAGTAGTGCATTATGGTCAAAAACGATATCAGTGTGATGTATGTGGAAAGACGTTTGCAAGGAAAGACAAACTTGCCTGTCATATTCATTTAATTCATGATGGCATAACTCATGCGTGTGGCTTATGTGGAAAAACTTATACACACAAAAATTATCTTGTAAATCATATTGTTTCAGTGCATAATGGTCAGAAGAGATCCTACAACTGTAATTCTTGCGAAAAGGCATTTGGGCTAAAAATTGCTCTAAAAAAACATACTGATTTAGTACATAATGGTCAGAAATCTCACGCCTGTAATAAATGCAGAAAAACGTTTGGACTAAAAATTGCTTTAAAAAAACACATTGATTTAGTGCATAATAGTCAGAAGAGATCTTACTACTGTAATATATGCAGAGAGACATTTGGACTAAAAATTGCTTTAAAAAAACATCTTGATATAAAGCATAATGGTCAGAAACCTCACAACTGTAATACTTGTGGAAAGACATTTCGATTAAAAATTGCTCTGAAAAAACATATTGATGTTAAGCATACCGGTCGAAAACGATACCAATGTGATACTTGCGAAAATACGTTTACGGAGAAATGGAAGCTCGTCCGTCATATTGATTCAATTCATAGTCGCATCACTCATGCATGCGATGCATGTGAAAAAATATTCACCCGAAAGGACAATCTCAAAAATCACATCGATATTGTGCACAAAAATCTCAAACATCATACGCGTGGTCCTACATGTTATATATGTGGAAAAAAGTTCGCTAGCAAATATTACGTCAAGATGCACATTAATTCTATACATAAAGATACAGGTCCCACGTGTGATACATGTGGAAAAACGTTTGTCTTGAAAAAGCATATGAAGTTGCATATTGATTCAGTGCATACAGGTATAACTTACCCATGCGATATGTGCAAAAAAGTATACACGCAAAAACATAGACTCAGACAACATAAAGATTTTGTGCATAATGGTATAACTCATCCATGCAGTCAATGCAAAAAGTCATTTGCAAGAAAAACCATACTTAAACTCCACATAGATAAAGTACACAATGGTAAAATACGAAATATGTAATTTTATTTAAATGGACTTTCAGCTGCAAATAGATGAAATGCATAGGAATCTTGTAGTGTACTGCTAGTAACAATATCATCTAAAATTAATAATTAATATTTTATATGCATAAATTGATTGCTTTATCATTGAATCTGAAAGTGTACATAAAGTATTTAAAACTTTATTCATGTTAATACCCAAATTCTTTAAAAAATGTGCTACGTATTCAATAGTTGGTTTCAGAAAATATGCTGGTTTATTATGTAAGGCCAACACAAATTTTTATTATAATATCAGCAATAAAGTTAATTATTTTGTCAACTACAGCCCTCTTTTTCATATTTCTATCTTGAGATAAATGGGCTTAGATTTGTACTCATATAAATTGAAAATTTTAACTAATTTTCATTATTTATCCTTAAAAACCGTATCGAACGCGCTCAAGGATGCTGAAGCAATACAGTATATGCTGTTGATATGTCATTACGCTCGGCCCACCGCCCAGGTCATACAATCGAATTAGTACGTTTTGCTGTTTGGCCAGCTAAGGTCCATCTTCAACCGCGTCGATTACGGCGTTAATAAGGGGAGATAAATGGTAACATCTTCCGACGATTTGTTCAAAAAAAGATGTTCCGCGTGTGAGCAAGCGATGTACAGTAGATGCCGCTTATAAGAATCACAATAGGACCAGACGTTTTGATTCGTATAAACGGCTGATTCAATTAAACGATGCAGTAAGAAATTGTAAATATTAATAAAAAAAAAAACGTTTATAGGTTTGTCAAATTTAACCGTTTTTCAAATTTTATTACGCGTCAATGGAATACTTGTTGCTTGGAGGAAGCTACTACAAAAAATTCATCAATTTTTGATTGTTTCTTATTAGTGCGGACTATTTTTTGAACGACTTTAAGAATTTTCTCAACATCTTCGTCTTTTCCACACCTTTTTCTTTTACGATTTAAACTTCCGTTTTCAATGTTAGCCGCTTCTAGGTCATGACGATTTTTCAAAATCCTATTGAGTTGCGTCTGTGAAACTTCTAATTTTGCTGCTGCTTCACGTTGACTGCACTTTTCGAGCAAGTCGTACTGTTTTAGTAACTCTTTCTTCTGGAGCAACGTTAAATCTTTTCTAGGCATGGTGAATTTCGAATTTTATATTTGTTTACTTGATGACGGTTCAATATCGTTTGATTCGTATAAACGGGTTTTGATTCCATTATACTGAAATCGGGACTTTTAATTAACATGTAAAAGTATAGAGGGAAATCGGGACCAAGCGTTTTGATTCGTATAAACGGCGGATTCGATTAAGCGAGATTCATATAAGCGGCATCTACTGTATATAGACAAGGATAAACAAAGCAAGTGAGACCAAGACGCCACAACCTATATGACACATCTGACTGGCAGTTCGTGCTAGACGATTCAGTAATCAGTGTCCGTTAGATCGCTCCTCAATCGGAAGTAAAAGATATCTCATTTTTTCTTAGTGCCTCTTAGAATAGCGTATCATCTCTAAGTGTTCAGCTTGTACCAGTTCCCACAAATCGTAATCGCAATCAAAAGATTGTATTTGATCAGGTGAATTCAAACTCTAATCATTGGTATTTGCTCGGCCAGGCCTGTTCATAAAATACTCCTCGACTAACATTAAATAATGGTATTGTACAGGTTTGCAAAAATGGAACACCGACCTCATCAAAAAAGCGGGACCAAAACTACAGAAAAGTACATACACCAAGACGTTGAAGTGGAAAATCAAGATGAAAAATATCTTTCGCATGAAGAATTGGAAGAGTACCAGAAAGTACAAGAAGTGCTTCTAAAGTTTTTAAGAGCAAAGTATGTTTACAAGTTTTGGTTACAATTTAAAATTTTAAAAATGTTGTGCAGTTTCTATATTTTATTTATCGCTATTTTATTCAAGACATAATAATAAATCGGATCTTCGGAAATTCCTCTTGAACATTATCATGAGCTCGTCTAGGCTACTTGTACTTCTAGAAGATACTGTAAATCAGGAAATTGGAGATGCTGGGGGAAAAAACTCCAAAGCAAATCAGCAACATAAATCTGATGAAAGTAAGAAATCTTAAACCAAGGGAGAAATTACTCCAAAAAAGATTAATGGGCATCTTGGACAAAAAAAAAGATATTAAAAAAAACATTTAATTATCATAATTTTTTAGAAAAAGATGAACAAATACCACGAGTAACAATCCAAAGAATTAGCTGCAATAACGAGCCTAAAGATACAGTGCTTCATGAAAATGATGACTGTAGGATGAAAGATAAGACATCCAACACGAAAAGTTCTCAATTCATGCAAGTTTTGCAAGAAAATCGTGTAAGTTGATAAAATATTTGCAACTAAATGTCTATAGTAAGAAAATGCGTAAATAATTTCAATTTTTTTTCAGACTCAAACGCTTGTAAAAAAAGAAGTTCATGATACTCAATTGAACAACGAGATTGAGATAGAATTTGAATGTCAAAATGTAAAACCCACCGTAATCTCTTTGGTATCTGAAAAATTAGATATAAGTATTGACCGGCAACCCAAAAGAGAAAATGAAAAAGTTCTGCCTCTTGAATCTATACACAGAAACAAGAAATCTAAAAAGCTTAAAGCGTGCTCTAAAAATTTTGGGAGGATAAGTAATCTCAAAATCCACAAACAGACAGCGCGAGATCGCATTACACATTCATGTGACATTTGTGGAAAGAAATTCATGCAGAAGCACAAACTCGAAATCCATACAGAAGTAGTGCATAATGGTCGAATACATCATAAATGTGAGACATGTGGCAAGACACATACAACAAAAGCTATGCTTGACCGTCACACTAAATCATTGCATAATGGTATCACTTATGCGTGTGATTCATGTGGCAGAATATTCACACGAAAGGATAATCTGAAAATCCATATTGATTCGGTACATAAAGGTTTAACTAACCTATGTGATTTGTGTGAAAAAGTATTTACATCAAAAACTGGTCTCAGATTACACAAAGATTCCATGCATAAAGGCATTTCTTACCCATGTAATTTGTGCAAAAAAGGATTTAAACAAAAATCTCACCTTAAAGTGCACAAAGACTCCGTGCATTTAGGTATAACTCATCAATGTGATCAATGTGAAAAGTCATTCACAAAAAAATACAACCTTAAACTCCACATAAATAAAGTACACAATGGTAAAAAATAAAATGCGTAATAATATTCAGATGGATTTGAATCTACATATCGTTGCAATTCGTAAAATTGTTGAAACTGCATAAATCAAAATAGATATAAACTTAGCTTTTCAAAAGAATAGCCAAATTTCTACGCTTAATTCATTACAATAAGTATCTATATATGTATCGATTTATTGCCTACTTTTATTAAATCTGAGTGTGTATTAAAATACTCGAAACTTCATTTGTGTTAATATCCAAATTTCCTCAACTATGAAATACATAAAAAAATGTGGTTTACATATACCTAAAAGCCTATACCTAATTTTTTTGTCCTGTACTGGTGTTTAAGGGTTCAAAGTTTTGGAACGTTAAATTTTCACAACATACTAAATTTATTGAAAATATCTTGTCTTTCTCCCATTATCTCTCAATATCATCATCGACTCAAACATCTTACTGTCTCTATAGCAATTGCCGATTTACCAATGAAAAATCCTCGAAATCGTACACAATTTCGCTCGCGGCGTGCCTCGTTAAAGCTCCATAACATAATGTTTATAAAAACGCGCTCGCGGCATCGTAATTTATGTACGGTGCGCGGCACAGTGGCAGAAACGTTTTTGCCTCGGTAATAGCCACCCCTTGTACCTACTCGTGCGGCGAGCATGTGTGTGCACGTCGACGCGCCCATATAAGCAGCAGCAGAGCTTCTTTGATGTACAGTACTATATGCACGCGTTTGTACGTGTAACCCTCTATCATCCTCACTCTCTCGCTGTGACGAAAAAAGAGAAAAAAAAGTAGATTACACGTGATACACCTATGTATGTGTGCGCGCGCGCGCGAGCGGCCCGCGACGTCGCGTCGGCATGTGCGCATTAAAATTGTGCTGTGCATATAATAGGTCCCGACTCGGAGCTCTGCGCGGCCACAAAGAGAATCGTTAACTCTTAATGACGGGTTGCTGCGCACACACACACACATATACGTACTTGGTGGTGCGGCGCTTAATATTATACACCCATGTATGACCTGGGATGCGCAGCGGCAGAAGCAAGAACAGAATAAAAAAAAATTGTATTTGCATTCTTCTTCTCGTGTCGCTATTTTTTATTTCGAACCTGCTCCTCCTCCTCTTGCTCCCTGTTTCAGCTTTGCTTTAGCTTTAATCCCGGGCTAGTATATATACCTATTATGTGCGTTAGAGCTTGAGCTGTATACGTTTTGTTACATGCAAAATATTTAATTGAGTAATTTTTTCCTCTCTCTCTGCTCTTTTTTGCTTTCGCCTTTTAAATACGCGAAGTTCGAAGGAATTTCGAGCAGCTCTCGTTAATACCTTTTTTTTCTCTCTCTCTCGAGCTGGAGCGCGATGGAATGATAATAAGCCGATCGGTAAATACGCGTAGCGGGACGCGTAATACCGATCGAAACTTCCGTGTATTGTGAGCGCGGGGGGATCGTTATACATGCAGCACATATTTCGGAGAGATAGAGAGCAAAATTCCCATGTAAATAATCATTCGTACGATTCATTTGTATATTTCGTCAATTTTTTTATACGTTAATTTTTTTGTCGCTCAACATTGTGTCAAGCGCGGATCCGTCCTGAAAATTTCATCTCGACGTCGCGCCGTAATACAATATCTTCTTGGCCTCTTGGGTGCACGCGCGCGGCGGGGCTATATGCGGCTTTTGCGGCTTCTCTCTCCTTCTTTGGATGAGTTTCAATGTCACCCGCGAAGTTTTCTCTCTTTTTTACATACTTTATACGCTCGGGTTTGACGTTATATACTTTTAAAAAAAAAAAGAAGAAACTTATTATCTCCGCTGTACACTCGGCAATTTACCACCCATGACGATATCTTACATACGCATACGAAAAATCATGTTTATCCCCACACACACACACACTTGGGGTATTACGTATAATAAATATATAAGAGGCCTCACTTCGGCGCGATGATTCGAGAGAGAGCGTCGATCCTCTTCGTCACCGCCTCGAGGCTCGTTACGTACGTATCGACGTGTACGACGTGCCGTTATATTTTTCGCGATTCCTTAAAATACCTTTACTTCCCTCTCTCTCTTCACTTTTTTTTTTATATACGTTATATGTATGTTATATTATATTATTACGCGTGAGAGCCTCATTAAGAAAATTATATAGCTGTTTTCGCTGCCCTTTTTTTTCGCTTGATTTTCTCGAAATGTGTTTGTTTTCTCACGTTATTATCTCTGCTATATAATGCGGCTCTCTGGTGCCGTCGTCGCCGCGTCCCTGAAATAGGGCCACACGACGATTATCTGATGAGATTTATGCGAATGATTTTCCGGCGGTGGCGGGCCTCCCATGAGCAGCAGCACCACCTGAACTCTCGCTGCAGACGGAAGGTGGGAAAGTCCCCTTATCTCGTCTCTTCTCTCTCTCTCTCTCTTTCTCGAGGTCGTTTTCTGCGCGACTCCTTCTCATCTTCAAGAGGTCGCTTATACACGCACGCGAGAGAGCACAATATATAATATCATGCATAACATTACCTACACGTAACTTTGCGCGCAATTTTGAACTTTTGCCTCGACGATGGCGCGCGAGCGCTTGAAAATTACACCGCGCGGCGCACGTACACGTACGTAGATATATTTCCGAAAAATTTACTCTCCGCCGCTGCATCATAGCATATGCATTATGTATCATCATTATTTAATAAACGGCGTCAAATCGATCAATCGTCCTCCGCGTGCGATATGGCCATATATAGTATATAATACAGCGGTAAAGAGAGACGAAGAAGAATGTATAAATATGAATCGCGTGAACCAGGCATTTGAATAATGTCGGCGGCGGCGGCGCCCGAGGACCTGGAATTCCGTTTCGTGCGTGTAATATTCGCGATGTGTCTGTCTGTGTGTGTGTGTGTGGGAATCGGTACTGAGATTGCTGCACATTATATTACGAGCTCGCGTTATATCTACCTCGCCGCGTGCGCTGCACGTGAGTTTACACGACTGTATACCAGTACGGCGAAGTGATCTCGTTTTAAAATGCTTCGCACGTACGATTTTCCGATTTTTGAACCAAAAATTGTATTATCTTCGCAGCTTCTGTGTATTTTAATTGCTCATTGAAAATCAGCGTGACAATTGTTTTCTCTTTGCAGTTAATATAGGTTTGGTTAGGTGTGAAACGGCCGTAAATGATTATATAATTGATTAATGCAATGAGTCCTATATGTTTCAAGAAATTTACAGTTTCTCTTGCGGTATCTTAGAATTCGGAAATGCGCCATCTAGGAGCAGCTTAGGTACTGTTTAGTGTTGTTGTCTGTAACGAAAAGGCCGAACGATATTTCGGAGGAGACTTGAAATTGTGTTTATTATTTTTCAGAGTTGCAGCGAAATTTCTGTTGTCTATAATAGGTAACGCGATCTGAAAAGGGTCGTAGATCGTGAACAATAAATTTTGAATGACGAAGTAATAGCCGTCACTTGTCATTATTTATAAATTATTGATTACGAATGAAAATACAAATAACATTTTTGACATATTTTTCAATGTTGCGAAATAAAATAATAAATATTGAAAAAATTTTCCATGCAGATTATAATTATGCGAAAAATGTTTTATACTGGCATACATTAAGATTTTAAAAATTTCTGTTTCGTGTTCCTAATGAAAAAAAAGTATTACAATTTCAATAAATATTATTATATAGAAATACTGCAAATCGAATGTTCGAAAAAATTACATGAGCTGGATTTAATTTTTTGTTATTTTCTAAGAGAGCATCAAATTATAGTTTGCGAAGGGCGGCATTTTGTCTAGCCCGTCACTGCAGAATAAATGCGTTTTTATGATGAAGCTGTTTTCAAATATAATGTAAGTGGTATTTATCATTTTTGATTCAATAGTCAATTTGATGCCCTCATCATGAAAACGATTAATGTTATTTTAATTTCGCTCTTCAAATTAATCTTCTTGTCAACCAAATGTAATCGATTGTTATTTATGCATAAATTCAGCGTGACACTGATAAAGTAATATACCACATCGACGTAATATCTTACTCTACATCTTCATTTATAATTATTGAATTTTGTTATGATATTGCAAATCTTGTTCGATATTTATATTATACTTGATTCATGTCATTTTCCTCAGTTTTTATCGAGTTGTCAAAAGCACAACACTTACTGCATAATAATGATCGTCTGAATTTTCAAACGCTCGATTTATCTTAAAAAAAAGTTGTTAAGAAAATGGCTTTATTTACACAGCTTTGGAGTTTAGATATTCTAATATGTGTGTTTAGTTTATCTATATGCGCTTACTTTTACGCTGTGAGAAATTTCAGTTACTGGAAAAAACGAGGATTCAAAGAAATTCCACCGACGGCAGTTTTCGGCAATTTTATGGAATGTTTTCTGGCGAAAAAACCTCTCGTCCATGTCCTCAACGACATTTACGAGTACGCAAAAGATGAACCTTCCGTGGGTTTTTACGTATTGGACAAGCCTTACTTGATGGTTCGAGATCCAGAATTGATCAAACATGTTTTGATCAAGGATTTTGCAAATTTCACGGATAGAGTAGCTGATTCGTATAAAACGGATTACATTGGAAGGTTCAATCTTTTTGTTTTACGCAATCCGGATTGGAAATATGTAAGACAAAAAATATCACCCGTTTTCACCTCTGGAAGATTGAAAAAAATGTTCGATCTAATGTTAGAAATCGACAAAGATCTAGATCAGTATTTGAAAACGACTGTCGAAGAAGGTAAGCTATAATAAAATATATTTTATTTTTTTGAAATATCACAAAATTATGTAAAATTATTTTATAATACTTCATTCAGGTAAATCCGTTGAAATGGACGTAAAAGAGATATGCGCCAAATTCACCACGGATGTCATCGGAATAACCGCGTACGGCATGCGGTTCGACGCTTTGTCCGACGAAAATTCATACATTCGCAAAGTCGGAAGGACCATATTTACGAAATCGTACAGACGTTACGTGGAGTATTTGTCGGTGCTATTGGTACCGTCGATCGTAAATATTTTTGCTTTTCGTTTTCTCGGTAAGGCCTCGTCGCGATTCCTCAGCGATCTTTTTCACGGAGCGATGAAAGAGAGGCTGGACTCCGGGGTCAAACGAGCCGATTTGCTGGATTTTTTGATCGACTTGAAGAAGGAGCAAGAAAACGAACTGGTGAAAAGTGAACGAAGTAAAATCATTAGCCTGGCAGTAGTTTTAGTAAATTAATCGGTTTAATTTTTAAAATTCACAACGCTTTGTTATAGAAATTAACGATGGTCAATTGATCGCTCAAGCTGCAATTTTCTTTATCGGTGGATTCGAGACGTCTTCGACGACTATGTCGTTTGCGTTGTATGAATTGGCCAAAAATCCAGATGTTCAACGAAAATTACGAGAAGAATTGTCGGGAGTACTGGAAAAGAACGATGGAAAAGTTACTTACGACATGGTACGAACAAAATTAAAGTTGAGTTTTTCCGGTAAAATTTTAACGTTAAATATCTTTCTCTTTTTGCAGCTAGTGAACTCACTACCGTACTTGGATATGGTAATTTCGGAAACGTTGCGAATGTACCCGATTTTGCCTTATTTGGACAGAATGACGGAAAAAGATTATCAATGTCCCTTGACAAAACTCGTTGTACCAGCTGGTGTACCTGTGGTTGTACCAATGCGATCTCTTCATATGGATCCTAATTATTTTCCACATCCACAGCGATTCGATCCTAGTCGATTTTCCGGAGAAAATAAAATTAATATTAAACCTAACACGTATTTCCCTTTCGGAGATGGGCCAAGAATATGTGTTGGTAAGATCTTAAATCTAATCATCAACTTTGAAGTTTACGAACTTATTTCTATGATAGTTTCAATTTTTATTTTTTTTTAGGAATGAGACTAGGATTGATTCAAACGAAGCTAGGTTTGATTCGGTTGATATCGAATTACGAATTTTCACCGTGTCGAGAAGCTCTCAACGTCATGGAATTTGATAATAAGAGTCCCCTTTTGTCGTCGACCGCTGATTTAGTATTAAACGTTAGACGTATTTCAACAAGATGAGATTATTTGTAGTTTATGAGCCCTTCGCGTTTTTATTACAGCAGAAGTCTCATCAAAATTTTAGATGTTTTGAGGGTTAAATTGGGGCTGTGATTTTTTTTTTAATAAAATAACTGTAAAAGTATTTTTTTCAGAATAACCTGTTATACATCATTATTGTTGTGTATGATTAAAATTTTTAATTGTCTTTAATTGATTTTTATTTGTTTACTGGCCATATCTAACGTCAATAATATAAGTACAACTTTGAAAAAAAATGAAATGAAATAATATAATAATGTTAATGGCCTAACGTGACACAATTCGAAATGGAGAGCTTTTGTCATATCATATTCAGATATATTATACGATCCTTTTTATACACTTATTATATACATTGTATTTGCGCGTGGCACAATAAATTGTATGGGTTTCCGCGAAATGAATTGGATGTGCTGCTATGTGGCTAGTATATGTGCGTGCACGATAGCTTTTGTAAAAGCCGAGACAAAATAAACATACGTACGAGTATCATACAGAGAAACGTTTGACCGAATTTTCCATCTATTATACTAATGGAAATATTCTCGTACATCCGAATATTATAAGCACACGAATATTTTATTTATTTTTTTCCCCTCCTTCACTTCTTTACTTCGTCTGATCATCGAGCAGCACGACGAAGATAATGTTTCGGAGAATTAAAAAAATTGTTTCAAAAACGGCTCCACTATAGCGAGAAAAAAAGACACGAAAAAGTATTTGAAATCCTGGATGCATTGGCAATTGGTGAAAAAATTGCTTTCATAGTAAAAAGATTCAAAATTTGCTTAACGAGAGCAAAATTCGTGAGAGCGCCGAATCGTTGGAAAAATATGTTGAGAAATGCATGACAAGTCGCTTATCTGTAGTCGAGAAAATGGAAGATATGCTCATCACATGGCTGCAGGATTTAACGCACAAGAAAATTCCAATCCGCTAAGATTTAATACGATAACGAGCTAGCGAAGTATAAATAGAGCGAATTTCAGTTCTAAAATATTCGTACTCAGTCGAGGATGGTTTGACAAATTTCGGCAAAGATTTTCTGTGCATAACGTTTTTTTTACAAAGTAAAAGGGCGTCAGTAGATCGCGAGGCAGCTCGTAAATTTCCGTATCAAGTGCAAACATTGATTGCTAAAAAAGTGTACGATGTTGCGCAAATAATCAATTGGGTAGGGAGACAAATTGTCAAAAAAAAAAGTTATTGGAGATATCAGAGAAAACCGGATCGAATATTATGAACATCATCATGCGTTATGATGAATACGTGGAGGACAATTCGATAATAAAGGATAAAAATAATAATAAAGGTAAAAAAAATAATAAAGGATTAATTTTTTATACATATCTTTTTTTTTTTGTTCCTGTGGATATTTTTTTTTTGGGCCTGCAATTTTTAGATTCACGATTTTTTGGATATTTTGGATTTTGGACCTATTTTTGACGTTGGATCTTACAGTTTGGATCTTTTGGATTCGAGCTTTTGGTTTGGAGCTTTTGTGCCCCAATCCTTCAATTGTGATGAAACGGGACTCTTTTGGAAATCAAATCTGTTTCTGTATTGTGCAAACCCGCTGACACATGCAAATGTAAACCGGTGTTGGTTTATAGAGCAGAAAATCCCCGAGCCCTGAAAGAAAAACAAAAAGAACATCTCTAAGTATTTAGGAGATCCAAAAAAACAGCTTGGGTAACAGCAAAAACTTTCCAAGACTGGTTTAAATTCTCGTTTGTTCCAGAAGTTTGAGAATTTGTGAGTCAACAAAATCTCTCGTTGAAAGTAGTGGAAATGTTTTTTCATCCCTAAGTACTGTTCTCCGCCACATTTCTGGCGACCTGTAGACGTGTTCAAAAAGCTGACTATGATGGACATTTCGGCAATCATGAGATTACAAAGAGGAAGCAGCATCAGGAAGAGAGTTTCAGCTAACCATATATATTAAGACTTTCTTTTTAAGAAAACTCATAAGAACAGAATATGTCGGCGAAACATAGATCACCGTATCTGTGCGAGCCGTGTGTGCAAGTGTGTGAGGGGGCAGCATAGGACGAGGCGACCGCGCGACGCAATTTTTGCACGAGTCTTTCTCCCCCTTCCATACGGGCACACGCGTATGTGCCTCACCTCGATTCGCTATTATATCCTCCCTGCGACACAGAGCTCGTCAAGAGACTATTTTTGTATCCAAGTTTTTATTTCCTTTCGTTGCTTTTCTAAGCCTTGGACAATTCGTCCTTTTGATTATTTGTTTATTAGTAAGGTGAGAGTGCACAGTGACAGTGCCGGTGGCGAAAAATAAAGTTTTCATTGTTCTAAGAGAACACAAGTTTTTTTTATCATTTCTACTCCTTTCATCCTTATTACACAACAACCAACTTCAAGTGAATATAAAGACGACATCTCCGTAGAATGAAATCATCTTTGAAATTTTCTCATTATATAACTTCTGAAATTAATTTTACCGCTTGAGGGTTTGCGATGCGACATCTACAGTCGATGCGCCAACTACACAATGTTTAGTGCGAGAGGTTGTCGAGCGCGACAATTGCCGCGCGCATACGACTCCTCGGGATATAAGAAATGTTTACTTTCAATCAGGCATCAAGCCTACTTGAATTGGACCACGGAAACAATATACTCCAAATTTTACTACGTAGTAAATTTGCTAACTCGACATATTTATTAAATTATTATATATTACATAATTAAACACCGATGAATAATTTTTATCAGAGTAATATCGTTGCTCCGCATATTTATACAAAATACAATGTTTTTAATATTCAGGACAGTAGCTTTTCATAATCATAATTTACAATTTTATACTCATATGGCTGTTTCCGTAAATGTCAAAATCTACGCAAAAAATCTCATGAATATAGATCAGACTAGGTGCTCAGGACATTTTTTATTCGAGCTAATAACACATCTCATCCCTCCTCTAATCATAACTTTACATTGTAATAATTCATTCAAATACTTAAAAATTAAAAAACACAACTAAGCGGCGCCGTTGATGCACGAGTACTCGAGGTCTCGATCCAGTCCAATCGCTTCGGGGAGGGTCATCGACGCCAAGTACGTATAACAGACACACACACACACGAACAATAATCGAAATTTCACTCAGTTACATTCCCATCGCGCGCGGATCCGTAATATACATTATAATAATAATAACGCGAAAGCAGCGCAAAGACATGTGTATAATATTGTACACGCGTGCTGCAGTTCGATCGCGAGGCGGCCCCGGCGGAATCGAGGCCATCATCCTCTTCGACGAACTCGCATATGTGTATTATACACACATATATATATGCAGGCAAGTGCAGTGCATAGGATGATCGGGATCGCGCAGCAAAATGTGCGCACTTCCGTGCACCTGTCGCTCGTTGCTCCTCGTGTCGGATCTCGGCCGGCTCCGCTGTCGCTGTCGTATGTGCAATGCACATATAGGCGTATACAGTGTATACTGTGTTCCGCTTCTGCATCGCTATATGTACTATATGAGCAATTCTCTAAATGAAACGCATTTTTGGAGGTAGAATCGCGACAAATTTTTTTTTCAAGCTACGCGGATACGGACCCCCGGGAAATGTTTTTGGGGGTCCTAGGAACATGTAACCACGTAGGAACCATTGAAATTTCAATAGTGCTTACTTTTATAGCTACTTTTGTGATTTAGAGGACGAAAAATCATGTTTTCTCGCAAAAGCGGCTAATTACTCAATTTCTAAGTCGCTGAAAAAGTATCAAAACTCATCTAAAAAAAATAACTG